TTCTCGCAGATGTAAGTCAAATCAAGTGATAGCAACGCTAGGGGTGACTTTTGGGGCTATTTCCACTATTGCAATAGTAACCCACTCTACTGTTCGTTTGTTCGTTCGTGTGTTTGTTTGTTGTTTAACGCTGCTTTCAGCAATATTCCAGCTTTTTGGCAGCGGTCTGTAAGTAATTGAGTCTGGACCAGACAATCCAGTGTTTGATATCATGAGCAAAGTTCCACGCAATTGGTATACGATGACATGCATCAACCAAGTGAGCGAGCCTAACCGCCCGATCCGGTTAGGCACCTCTTTACGACAAGCACAGTCGCGTTTTTACGGTAAGCATGGGTTGCCCAATGCCTTTTCTACCCCGAATCTTCACAGGTATGTGACTTAGTGGATCGGGCCTGTTCTAGACTAGACGCGATTATTAAATGAATAAACAGAAAAAATCTCAAACCTATGGGTTATAAAGAGTGTTCCAGCTTGTAAACATTTTCAAGAGAAATTTAAGAGGAAGACACATGTATCTGTTATGACCCCTGTTGTCTAAGGGAAAGACACGTGTATCTGTCATGACCCCTGTTGTCCAAGGGGAAGACACTTGTATCTGTTATGACCTCTGTTGTCCAAGGGGAAGACAGGTGTATCTGTCATGACCTCTGTTGTCTAAGGGGTAGACACGTGTATCTGTCATGGCCTCTGTTGTCCAAGGGGAAGACACTTGTATCTGTCATGGCCTCTGTTGTCTAAGGGGAAGACACTTGTATCTGTCATGGCCTCTGTTGTCTAAGGGGAAGACACTTGTATCTGTCATGGCCTCTGTTGTCTGAGGGGAAGACACGTGTATCTGTTATGACCTCTGTTGTCCAAGGGGAAGACACGTGTATCTGTCATGACCTCTGTTGTCTAAGCGGAAGACACTTGTATCTGTTATGACCTCTGTTGTCTAAGGGGAAGACACTTGTATCTGTTATGACCTCTGTTGTCTAAGGGGAAGACACTTGTATCTGCTATGACCTCTGTTGTCCAAGGGGAAGACACGTGTATCTGTTATGACCTCTGTTGTCTAAGGGGAAGACACTTGTATCTGCTATGACCTCTGTTGTCCAAGGGGAAGACACGTGTATCTGCTATGACCTCTGTTGTCCAAGGGGGAGACACGTGTATCTGTTATGACCTCTGTTGTCCGAGGGGAAGACACTTGTATCTGTTATGACCTCGGTTGTCCAAGGGGAAGACACGTGTATCTGCTATGACCTCTGTTGTCCAAGGGGGAGACACGTGTATCTGCTATGACCTCTGTTGTCTAAGGAGAAGACACGTGTATCTGTCATGACCTCTGTTGTCTAAGGGGAAGACACGTGTGTCTGTCATGACCTCTGTTGTCCAAGGGGAAGACACGTGAATCTGTCATGATCTCTGCTGTCCAAGGGGAAGACACGTGTATCTGTCATGATCTCTGTTGTCCAAGGGGAAGACACGTGTATCTGTCATGACCTCTGTTGTCTAAGGGGAAGACATATGTATCTGTTATGACCTCTGTTGTCTAAGGGGAAGACACTTGTATCTGCTATGACCCCTGTTGTCCAAGGGGAAGACACTTGTATCTGTTATGACCTCTGTTGTCTAAGGGGGAGACACGTGTATCTGCTATGACCTCTGTTGTCTAAGGAGAAGACACGTGTATCTGTCATGACCTCTGTTGTCTAAGGGGAAGACACGTGTGTCTGTCATGACCTCTGTTGTCCAAGGGGAAGACACGTGAATCTGTCATGATCTCTGTTGTCCAAGGGGAAGACACGTGTATCTGTCATGACCTCTGTTGTCTAAGGGGAAGACACATGTATCTGTTATGACCTCTGTTGTCTAAGGGGAAGACACTTGTATCTGCTATGACCCCTGTTGTCCAAGGGGAAGACACTTGTATCTGTTATGACCTCTGTTGTCTAAGGGGAAGACACGTGTATCTGTTATGACCTCTGTTGTCCAAGGGGAAGACACGTGTATCTGTCATGACCTCTGTTGTCCAAGGGGGAGACACACCTGTTTCTGTTATGACCTCTGTTGTACATTCGGAGATGGATCGCCGCCTTCGACGTCAACCACGTGTTCCACAGACACTCCAGGAACTTCGAAACATGCTCCAGCAGATATGGACAGATATCCCACAGGACTTTGTGCGACGCCTGGTCCATTCCATAAGACCAAGATGTGTTGCTTGCATCGCAACCAGAGGTGGACATACACGCTATTGATTTGTAAATTGACGATTTTGGCATGTTCATGTTTTATTCATGAAATCACGCATTTTCTGAAGTCAGTTTGGCAAATTAAACCATTTGAACACTTACAGGAGTCTTTTATCTGTTGCAAACCGAAATGGTTTCAGATTTGGTAAAAAAAATAACTTTGCATTAAACCTTATTCAATGTCACAGGATCACGCCGAAGACCCGGGTTCGATTCCCAACATGGGTACAATGTGTGAAGCCCATTTCTAGTGTCCCCCGCCGTGATATTGCTGGAATATTGCTAAAAGCGGCGTAAAACCAAACTCTCTCACTCACTCACTCACTCACAATGTCACTATTTTAAAGATAGTACATCGAACCTGAAATTATACAGTCATACGAATATATGAACATACATTGTATCAACTCCTTGCACCAATATGCCATGCACGGAGCTATAAATGGTGCCACAAGAGAAGTCCGAAGACGCCAAGTCCTGAACAACGAAAGAGGTTCTGTGTCCCCACAACTATCAGGTCACTATACCCGCTGTCCGCGTGGTTTTGGCAATTCGTTTAGTAATGTATAATTGTCTTGACAATACATAGACAAATGAAATGAGGTGGTGTTCTGGTAAACCCGGACACCTGTAACATTGCCAAATCACAATTTTCACCCCTCCTTTTACACAAATCCGCATCCGGGCTTGATGTTATACGGGAACTTCGTCACAGAGGGAGGGCATTGCTCCGATTACCTCAAGACAACTCTCAGCTTCCGAATAGCCGCGAGGCAAATCCGTTTTAGAAAGTCAGATATGAACATGTTCTGTGTGCTAAATAAAGTGCATGGTCTTGTCTGATTGATATATCCGACGGAAATGACGAAATATGCAAACTTGAGAAAGAGAGGATCCGGGTCCTTGTACCCCTAATGACGTCAGGATGTAGTCACAGTCAGCAGGCAAGCACGTTGCTTCAATTTCCTGTTTGTCAAAAGTTCTGCGACCCATGAATACCCTGAAGGACTTTGACGAATGCTGTTTAGGATGGGATATTGATGGTCATCTCTAACCTGATACGACGTCACGTGACCCCCACAGAAGCCAGCGAGGAATCTCTGGGCACTAGTTGGGCACGAGTGACCCGATAATTAGGTGCCGCAGTTGGCTTTGCGGAATAACGCCCCTTTGTTGAGACAGGAACAGCTGATCTTTGGTTCCAATCCACGATTTTCCCTGAATATGAGTGAGTGAGTATTGTTTTACGCCGCTTTTAGCAATAGTCCAGCAATATCACGCGGGGGACGCCAGAAATGGGCTTCACACATCGTACCCATGTCGGAAATCGAACCCGGTCTTCGGCGTGACGAGCGAACGCTTTAACCAAAAGGCTACCCGACCGGTCCTCCCTTTACGTTGGTACAACAGCGTCACGTTACCACACAGTGATGTCACTCGCGAGTGTAGCTATACCGAGGCTTCCTTGTCCGCGAGGTACTACACATTTGACAGACATCAGGAAAATGTCTCCCAAGCAAAAGGGGGGACTATTCTCCTTGGTATGGTGTCCAGGGTGTGTACAGTCGAATCGAACTCGTGGTAACCTGGAAAAATGTTCGAGTTATCCGGGAATTCGACACATCGAAGTTCGAAACATCGAAGTTCGACTGTAATTAGTGACACTGGTTTCCCTCGCATGGATATTGCTGGAATATTGTAAAAAGCGGCGTAAAACCATTCTCACTCAATTTCTTTAGAACACGAAGTCACGCTGAACGGAGGAATGGGGACCAGTCTACGTGTGGACTTTACATATAAAACTATTTGCTTTCGGCATGTGTATGGTCTCTGACATGACGACCGGTATCACTTACAATCATAAGGTTAAGAAATATATTTTTCAAGGGAATAAAAATTCATGCTACTTTTTTGAAAGTTTACTTTTAAATATATTGAAGCAATCAGAGCATAGGCAACAATAATTAAGATCTTTGATTTCACCTGACGTAGACATTGTCCATCCGCCCATTTGAGCATTTGACCAGGGCCCACTTGCACAAAGCGATCTTAGCGCTACAACTGTTGTAAGCCTATGTTAAAGTATGGGAGTTACGATTATCTTAGCGCTAAGATCCCTTGGTGCAAGTGGGCCCTGAACTTTCTAAAAACAACTCTTTTCTCTTATTTACTGAACAATATTGCATTCACATACAAAGATATTCCTGCATATAGGTTATTATAAATTGTTCAAAGGTCTGCAACAGGATCATTCTTTATGGTTTACATAAAATTGACTTATAAAGTTTTAAGAAAGCATTTTTGAAGACATATGCTGGGTTATCAACTGCCAGGCAAAAGAAAATATACACTTGAGTTTGTCACCAAAATTACAAACGTCATTAAAACGTTTCCAGGCTGAAAACAGTCACCGAACACGGTCAACCAAAATACAACATTGACACCCGTATAAAATACATCACCATCTAATAACCAATTCTTGTTTGTTTCATGTTTAGCCGCCATCAATCAAACAAGGGAATAAACTTTCTTTTGCCCACCAGTTTAGTTAGCGAAACCGTACGAAAAGAAACAAACAGTGAATAAAGTGGCCTCATGAATTCACGCCGTGAGACACTAATGCCGGTGTTGGTGCCATCCAGCAGAGTCACACGTCTTGGTTCAGAAACATTCAAAAGGAGTACATGGTGTTTGTTTGTTTGGTTAACGCCACACCCAGCAATAATCCAGCTATTTGACGGCGTCATGTCACAAGGAACGGCAGCCAAATAAGACATCGAGCTAACCATCCGATACTTTGAGTCGACCTTTACGACTTGTCACTACAGCAAACTCAGAACATTCACGGGTGGAATACTTCACGAGATGCGTGCCGTGGTGAGAGTTAAAAAAGATTCATTTATGTTTACTCCCTTTGCAATGAATATATCTTGTTAAACCCTAGGCGCGGCATCTTTTACTTGATTTTTTAACAAACATGCGCAGTATGAAAGGCGAGTATTTAAATGTGCACAATGGGTCGGTGTGCAGGGTGAAGTCAATATTTTGACAGTAGACTCAAAAGGGAAAGCGATCTGCAATCAGGAAGTTTAAAGAAGAATTATTTATAATTCAGAACATGTGTTTCTTTTTTGCCAGACCTGCAAGAGTACACCTTTAGGAAAATGGGCGTTGTGTAATTCAGCAATGTTGGATCAAAGCAGATGAACCTGGCGCCATGTCAACACCGCGGTATCCGGGACGAGACTCCGCGTTGAGGCTGCACGACACCCTTCCTGCTAGCAGTGTATTATGTACAACACGGGTAGAACGCCATGAGCGGGGTGTACCCGATCCGGGTGTTGACTTTGGTAGACAGTTCTCGGATGACTCTTTAATTCTAAGAATATGTGTTGTTGGTTTATCTCCGGGAGAATGACGTCAGATATTAACTGTTTTCAAAATATGTCTTCTATTTGAAATTGACATTGTCAGTCTGTGGCAGATTTGCCTTTCTAATAAAAGCTGTGTGTTTTATAGATGAATCATTGCTGGACGTGTTCACCAAATATATATTTGAAATATACTTTTCTAAATTCTTATCAACCATAACGTGTGAATTAATTTTACCCTTTTTTACAAACGCCTAATGCCATCCCTGATTTTCGGTTATCTATTCATGGACATTTCATTGCTATTTTACATTTTACGCGGATAATCGAGACTGATTATTCTCTGGCTCTAGTAGGGCTGGGACGGGTACCTCGGGTACTCGGGTCGGGTGGGTCCTGAGTAGAACCCGGGTACCCATAGGACTACCCGGACCCGTGGTTAGTCACGTGAGATATTGTTTATTATCTTTATTTTAAAATTATCTAAACCTCTATGGTAACACTATAAGTCACTAATGTTCCCATTTCTTTCTGACAATGCACCCATTCCTTCTGACATTTATATATTTGAATAAAGATAAAACTTCATGCAGTAAACTTCAGTGTATGCGTGACCGGACTCTTTTACACGTGTATCTAAATACATTTTTGCCAGGGCTACGGTCAAACTTTTCCAAATCGGACAGTTTTTACCTATCTGTAAATATCTACAGCTGGTACCCGGGTAGGGTCGGGTAACAGGGTGGTGGGTACCCGGGTAGTAAATTTGGACTCGTCCCAGCCCTAGTTTCTAGTGAACTGAGACGATACTTCCGCTTGTGAACGTAAACACCCGAGTTCCAGCATAAGCTCAGCAGCGCCTGTCAATTATGCTGAGTCAGCTACAAAAGCAATGTTGATCCCGGACATGAAAACTGCACGTCCCATCCCCACTGTGCAGCAAAACGAATAACTTTATTTACAAGCAGCAGGATATCTGCACGTGTACAGATCATATGGAGTTTAGTTTCAGCAAAATCATAAAGAATACGCCATCGTGAAACTGGATTTCTGTTGCATCCTCACTTGACTGTGTGGTTTGTTTACAGGCCCCCGTGGCATTGAGTACTGCTGTGTGGCGCGACGAAACAAACACTGACGTCTTTATGCAAGTGGGCCGCCTCCGTGGTCTAGTGGTAGAGCGTCCGCCCGGAGAGCGGAAGGTCCGGGGTTCGATCCCCGGCCGCGTCATACCAAAAGACGTTAAAAGCTGGTACTTGGTGTTACCCTGTCTGGATCTCGGCATTAAGGGGCTAAAACAAGGACTGGTCGGCTCGGAGTCAGTATACTGTGTCTGAGTGGGGTATTCATGTTAAACTGCAGCATGGTATCTCAGTGAGCTAGCACTATAAATCGGCATCAGTCATGACTAGTACAAGCAGCCACACATACACGTACATGCACGTCGCTATATAAGTGCAATAATCTTGGACGCGACGTTAAACCCCATTTCACCTTACCTCACCTTTATGCAAGTTGTGTGGGTGGCGGGTCCTACCGTTCGACCGATCAAGCGCACCCTTACACCTAATGCCATCCTCGATTTTTTCAGTTATCCATTCACAAAATTTTCACCGCTTTTTTGCCTTACGCGCCGAATGGAATCTGTATCGGCGGATGGACCAGACTGGTTGTATTCTGTGAATAAGAAACTTGTGGTGAACGGTTTTGTAGAACTATAGCAGCAGTGAAAGTCGCTGTCACAACTCAAACTTCTCCACTTTGTTAAAACCTAGAATTAGTCATAACAGAAATGTCTAACGTTGTGTGTACCTTTCCTTCTTTACTGCCTACAACATACTACATTTGGTTTAAGAACTATTACTTGTCGTCTTATGGATATTCCCATTTACCATATACCTCCACGTCAGAATGATGAGATCTGATTGGTCCACGTAATCTTGATAAAATACTGTGTATCCCGCCTTTGAGGGGAATACATTTCTCAGCGGGGGTTAAAAATTCTTATATACCCCGCCACAAGCAAGTCAGGCTGCATGTGGATTTCTGAGAGGAAGAATCAATCCCTTATACCCCGCTTCAAAGCAAAAAGCCGCACGTTTTTCACCGAGTCAATGGAAGTCACGTGACATAGCGCAAGCTAACCTCAGCTCAGTCGAAAAGCTGTTTTCTCTCAATTTTGAATTTGTTTGAATTATTTACAAGTCATATTAAAACATGTCGGTAAGAATAAATTCGTTGCAGCAGGATCATTCGGGGATTGTGTAATATTCTTGGGGTGAGGGTGGGGGCGTCGGGGCTGGGAACACTTGTATGTTTATGAATACATACATACATACTTATATGAATCATTTCCTTAAAAACATTTACATATATAACTCAACTCACATATAGTGTTTATTCATAGTACTGAGAGGCCATAGGCCTGTTATAGATAGTAATGGTAACAACATATTTAGAACTAGGTTCATAGCATGCAATATGTACATTGACAGTTTTGTCGTTACTACATGGTAACTTCACATAACAGAAACACATTTCTGTAAACTAAGATGACGGATATCATATTTATCAATGAACTGTTTTATGACTTCAGCATACAACGGACATATCAGTAAAACATGATATTCATTTCGACAGTGTATAAATCACAAAACTGACAAACTCTATGCTCTCTTAATATACCCCTACATCATCCCGTCTCGAGAATTGTGTGAGCTACATCTGAATCTTACAAATGATATTCGAAATGACATTGATAAAGTATTGCTTTCTACAGAAACTGTTTTAAAGAGGGAAGAACTTGACCGTTCATTGGATGATGATAGAGAACACTGCCAATTGTGAATGTACATAACGCAACTCGTACTTTTTGCATTCTTAAAGTTTCACATCATATTCACAACCTTAACATTATACTCCCTCTAAGCTACTTTAGAGTTTAAACTGCTAGTTGTATAGTCAGTGCAGTTCATCGTTGAAGTCGGGGCAGATATCACAAAATAGATGATTACCATATTACGTCACACACGGCCCGTGAAGATCTGGGATGGTTATCTCCCCAAACCCCTACATCCCATTTCCCCTACAACCCAGTTCCCCTACAATTAGTTAAAACAACACGCGGCATTTACCTGTCTGGCATTATGAACTCACCTAAAGGAGAGATAATGGTCTGGAGTAGAGGTAGTAGAAATGAAAGGGGTAGAGCTTTAGGGGATTAGGGGACTAAAAGGAAATTTAAAATAAAAAAAATAATGTAAGTGTAATGAAAGATGCCTGTATGATGAGAAGACAATTTTATGTTATGTCACAGAGAGGAAAGCCCCAAGTCCTATTTGATGGTTATCTTCACACTAAGAACGTCGAGAGACTGACTTGCGTACACTGGAAGTGTGTCAAGTCCACATGAAGAGGAAGACTCGCGACAGTAGGAACTGTGATGAGGAATGCTACAGAGCATAACCATGCCCCTGAGGATAGCCAGAAGGTCCGGTTTATGAGCACCCTGAGGAAGAGAGCGAGAGAAGAGTCAACCCCGATGCACACCCTCTACAACGACGAACTCTCCAACTTGAACAACGACGAGACAGGAATGATGCCATCCTTCCCCACAATGAGCAGCGCGTTGTACCGGCACAGACAGAAGACGATTCCTGTTTTGCCACAGACGAGATCGGATGTGGATCTTCAGGATTCCTGGACGCAGACAGCAGATGGACGACCCTTCCCCTGTTTGCTGACGGTAAAGATGACAAGATCCTGGCGTTTGGCAGTCTAGAGAGTCTCGAGGCCTTGCAGTCATCTGAGATTCTATACATGGATGGAACGTTCACTGCCTGCCCTGGACTGTGTCATGCATCCAAACAGACTTTGAGATGGCTGCTATTCGTGCTGTCCAAGTCGTGTTTCCTACTGCCGATGTGAAGGGATGTTTCTTCCATTACTGCCAGGTGATATGGAGGAAGGTCCAGGATCTGGGACTAGCTGTCGCCTATCGAGAAGATCCTGAAGTCTGCAAGAAGAGCAGCTGGCCTACCCCTACCCCCCAAGAACAAGATCCAGGACACGTGGGTTGACGTAATGGACAACACACCAGATGTACCCAGAGCTGTCGCCTTTAACGACTACATCGTCACTACCTGGGTCGACCACGGAGCACGATTCCCCCTACCACTGTGGAACTATCACGGTACAACAGGTCCCAGGACGAACAACAACCTTGAAGGCTTTCATAACCGACTCAACCGAGGTCTCCCTCACCGACATCCCAACATCTACCGATTTGTGGAGGTAGTCAGGAAGGTGGAACAGGCAGAACGAGCTAAGATTTTACAGCTCGACTTTGGAGCAGCTCCAAGAGGCAGGAAGAGAGTGTACAGAGAGGTGGAGAACCGCCTCTGCCGCCTGAAGGACGAGTTGAATAGAGAGGTGAAATCCCCAATGCAGTTTCTAGATGCGTTTGGCCATTTCCTCAGACTCGGATAAAGAGTGAATTGAACATTTGAGATGAAATTTATTATAATGTATTATGAATTTTGAAAAATGAACATTTTATTATAATGTATTATGAATTTTGAAAAATGAACATTTTATTATAATGTATTATGAATTTTGAAAAATGAACATTTTATTATAATGTATTATGAATTTTGAATAATATCGTAATCGTAATCAAATATTTATCTCAATCTATTCGTGTTTCTTGGGTTGTTCCATTGTATGAAATAGGTAACAGACTAGGGATTAGCAGTGCCATGGACCGTGAGCTTTGTTGTCTTAAGCTGTAGGGGAAATGGGATGTAGGGGTTTTGGGAGGTTACCTCTGGGATAGAATAGGTCTTCAGCAACCCATGCTTGTTGTAAAAGGCGGCTATGCTTGTCGTAAGAGGCGACTAACGGGATCGGGTGGTCAGACTGACCAAGTCGCTGACTTGGTTGATGTTTGTCATCGTATCCCAGTTGCACGGATCTATGCTCATGATGTCAATCACTGGAGTGTCTGGCCCAGACTTGATTATTTACAGACCACCGTTATATAGCTGGAATATTGCTGAGTAAGCCGTTAAACAAAAAAGTCACTGACATGTTTGCTACAGACTAGCGAGTCCAGTTATGTTACCGAAACATTAAAATAACCATTTAGCTGTGACCACCATTTAGGGGTATAAAACATAGAATAAATCTAAACCTTGTCATATACGATGTCAAGGGTACTAAAATACGTGTCATATATGCACAGCATTTACGATCATTGCACACGCTAGCAAATACATGAAAATGATGACCACACCTCTGTAATACATGTTTATCGTCACTTGAATTATCATTAATTTCAAGACCTGCGTAGTAACTGCAAATGCTACGTTCATTTCATACGTTGGTTATATGGGCCTCGGAATACACATTCATTTCTAACAAGCATATATACTTACCGCCAAAAGAAACGCAAACAATAGACATGTAGAGTAGTGTAAGTACGTTAAGAAAAGATGTTTCCAATGTGTACCAGTTAATAACTAACGAGACTAACAGTCAAGTGTTACCACAGAGTGACTTTATTCTCATAACGATATGATGCACGTGATTTTCAAACTCTACACGCTAATCCTGCACGAGCTAAATGGTTCATCTCGAGTCATGGATCTATGACGTCACATGTGATGCGTTAGTGAGCGTCGGTTCACACAAGATACCAGTCCGTTTGTGCATCGAACCAATCTAATATTTCTTGAATATGAGTAATTTTACATATATTAACCAACATGTATGGTACTCTTTTACCGGTGAGTATATTTGTGAAATACTGTCCCTTCGTGTGGTGCATGCTCGTGGGTTTCACCAAAGTAAGATATGCATAACCCCCCCCCCCCCCCAACACACTACATTAAGCTGACAACATTATATTACTTGAATACTGTTTAAGGCGGCGTTAAACCCAACTCACACACACTAGTTTTGTTTCTGAAAGTAACAAGGTAACAATCACCGTCAAATGATGGGGATTTTACAGTCGCCTCAATTACCTACTGTCTTCGTGGCAGTCAGTAAAAATACGACTATCACGAAACTTCAAAAGCCGTACCGGGCAGGTCTTGCCGCTCCAAAATTAATAGTGCAAAATGTCGTCTGCACAAACTCCTTTTCTGACAGGACTCTTATTTGACACAAGTTTAATCAAGCAATGGTGAAAAAAACCTCAGACAAAATGTTAAATAGGATTGAGTTGAATTTATTTTGTCTTACATGCTTTTAATGTCATCAGTGAAAACCTCATGTATATAAACGCTATTTAGTCTAAACTCACCCCAATCTCATTAAAATCAGATCTTAGTTCTCGCTACCGCTAAACAAAGTTCGTCAAATAAGTGTCCTGTGGGAAAAGGAGTTTGTGCAGACGACATTTTGCACTATTGACAAACTTTGTTTAGGGGTAGCGAGAACTAAAATCTGATTTTAATGAGATTGAACTCACCCTGTCGGATCACAACTGATTTGATAATGGATAGTTGTATTTTCAACAATTATGTAAGCTAGTGTATATAGGACAGAATAATAAACTCAATACATTTGCAAGGATGTGCCGACAACCTTTCTTCGTTTTTTGTGTGACAATGTGTTCACTCTTCAATGTAGTTGAGATGAGGCAACATTTAATTAGTAATCAAGAAACTGTCATTGAAGGGTTGTAAAATCTGTGAATCTTTATTCGATCGTAGAGCCAATAGCTGTTTTTAACAAAACCAACCGAATGGCGCATGCGTATGACACGTGGAATAACAACTTCCGATGTACACATGTCGGCTGCTTCAGATGTGATGTTCCTAGCGTAACAACTATTTTCTACATTGTGTATGTCCTTCCGGAGTAGTCGTTAAGGTAAGGATTTGCGGTTAATGCAAAATTCAAACAGGTCGTTGTAAATGTCATTCATTTCGGACAGAATTGTTCTGATTACCAGTTGAAGACGGGATGGATAGCCGATGACCGGATCACAGGGCCACAGTGCACAACAGCCAAAGACTAGTTGCTGACCCGGTGTTTTTTTTCATTTGACAAGTGCATTTATTTCCTTGTCATTTCGTATACCGCTAGTTTCGTTACTCACAGGTCGTTTTTATTTATCGGATTTCTAAAATAGTATTTTATTCATTTCTATATGTATATTATTCTTAAGACTTAACAGTGTGGCAACTATTGGTACCAGTTAAATTTATTAAATATAGAAAAATGGAAATTCAGTGTTAAAATATGATGGGTAGGCTGCAGTATTTGGGTCTGCAAAACGGAACGAACGTTTTGACGTTTTTACGGAAGTTGTCAATTGAAATATGTTACTAGGCCTAAAGTATCGGCTTTCAAATCATAGGAACTAATGCAATTCTTTGCTCATATTTAATTATTATCTGAATCACTTGGTATATTCCTCTAAATCAGGTCAACATATATTGTCAAGTCTTAACATAAATTCCTTTCCTTGAAAAAAACTAAACAAATAGAGTAAAATTCATTTACAACCATGCCTAATGATGGAATAATGTGACACAAAATGAACTGGGGATAGAAAATAACCTGATTTACAAAACATGACTGAAGGGATACAAAACCACCAGGCTACAAATTGACAAAATGGATGTGAAACTACTGGTCCACCTTACTACTGGGATACAAAATGACCTGTTACCGTGCATTTCCTGGGCACAATAGTGTCTGTAGTAGGTTGGCATGTGGTTTCCAACTCGTACACATCCAAGGCGTGCAACTAATTGATATTAAAAAATATCATATAATTTCTTTTAAGAATTGTTCATTATACAGAAATCAAGGCATAATTGTCACAGTGAAAGTCATTTCAATTTGAGGTCAAGCTGGTTTCAGACACTACTGTAACTCAGGGTGTGACTGTCGTCTTTTAGGTGACCAAAGCTCTCAGCCCTCTGCATAGTTTGGCTTTGCTATCTTTGTCCTCGTTTAATTTGTTGTTACTATCCTTCAAGTTTTATTATTTTGCTCATATTGCCTTTTTCAGAACACTTGGCACAGGCCACTTATCTGCAATGTGCACCGCTGACTTACTTTACAATCAATAAGTTTCGCGTTGCACTGGCACGTTTTAGAGCTAGCTCCCACTCGCTCCACATAGAAACCGGGAGATATTTTGGTATCCCAAGACAGCGAAGGTTATGTATGGTTTGTAAAACAGGCTATGTTGAGTCTGAATACCATTTTGTATTGGTTTGTGAAAAATATTATGCTCTCCGAGTGACATATATTCCTCAAAAATATTATGTAAATCCATCAATAGAACAATTTTACATACTTATGTCGTCTCTGCATCAGTCAACAATTAGAAGTCTGGCTTGTTATATTTACCACGCTTTTAAGTTAAGGAATTCATTTTTGCAGAAGTAATATTCTTTATCTATGAATGCCTTGCTGTTGTGTATTTAGGTGTACACAGTTGTATTTTTATACATGTCTGGTGAACCGAATTGTACTATGGGCCGCTGGCCCACTCATGTACTGAATAAACAGATTAGACTTACTCCCTGTGGTTATAAACTTTATCATTGTTTCAGATTGTCAATGGTACTTTGTGTATCATACTATCAATTTCTTTAGCAAAGTAAATAAATTGGTAAGGTGTCTGTGTAGGAGTAGGTGCATAACAGAGTAGGCATCGAATATTCTAAAGAATCAAGTTATATTTCTCAATATTATTTAACAATGATCATTCACTTTGTTGGTGGCAGTCAGATGCTTGAGGGCGGTTTCTCATGGGGGCTATCTCATTTGCATCTCTTATCAATGCTCCTTTTTTTCACCCTGTACTTTCTAATAATTCTGAAATTTTGAATATTCTGTAATATCTTATCCCTTAAAAGGCTAAAAATCATGATAATCCCTTAAAAGGCTAAAAAATCATAAATAAACGTATCGGTTTTTGTTGTTGTGTCAATCTGCAAGATTGGCAACTATCCCCATAAAAAGATAATCAGTCTTGTTGATGATACATAACTCATGGAATAACTGAAGAAAGGCAGTCCAGGAAATATTTTTGTTCAGCATGTAGCATTATGGTGACAGACAGAACCAACAAGCTGTTGCTACACTAATCAGGGATTTATCTAGGATTCTTAACTAACAGTGAGTGAGTTTGGTTTTAAGCCGCTTTTAGCAATACTCCAGCAATATCACGGCGGGGGACACCAGAAATGGGCTTTACACATCGTACCCATGTCGGGAATCGAACCCGGGTCTTCGCCGTGACGATCGAATGCTTTAACCACTAGGCTACCCAACCGCCCCTCATAACTAACAAGGTTCATACAGGTTTGAATAGGCCTTGAATTTTAAGGTCCCTCTTGAAAGGCCTTGATTTTTAGTGTCAACTTTGGAAAGCCTTGAAAATCACAAAATAGCTAAAAAAGCCTTGAATTTGTACTGAATGATATATACTTGTTTTTGAAAGTATCAAAAGTTATGGCTTAATTTATTTTATTTGTTGGTTGTGAAAATGTTGTTGCGGCTAATGTATGGTATGCTGGATTTTTAGAAAATGTTGAGTGACTAAGGCTTACAACCCCAATAAAAAAGCTTTGAAAATGACAGTTGTAAGCCTTTATAAGGCCTTGAAGTTTTGTGTCTTGTATCTGTATGAACCTTGAGTATGTGCCCCTGGTAGGCAAATTGGGAAAAAACGTTATTTTGTTCAAAATTGGGATTTTTTAAATGTTAATAGTTTCTTAGAGGAATTTTGAGATTGCATTTAATACAATAAGTGAAAAAGAAACATTAAAAACTGTTCCTATCTATTGGTCTTAGTTTTAGTGAATACAGTTTTTTTTCTACAAAGCCATAAATTTAGTAAATACATAGTACTTAACATAAATTGGGAAATGTTTAGTTCCAATTTGGGAATTTTTAATGACATTTAGGGCTGAATTTCAGCTTTGTGCAGGTTGAGATAAATCCCTGCCAATAGCATACACCTCACCAAACAAAACAAAGTGTGAAAATGATAACAACCTTAACAGGATACTCAATTATACTCAACTAACGGAGTAACTGTAGTCTGTAGTCATGGTAATGTAGACAAGATCATAACAGCATGAACTGATTGCGTTTTATGGCTGCGTCTTGTGTGCTGTATATTTATCGGGGATTGATGAACATCATTACTTCATTGTGCTGAGAAATTAGGTTTAGTAGCAGTAGCCTATGGCCTTTCCAATTCAGTGAGTAATTTCATGCTATTTAGGCTGATGTTGATGTTTCAGATGACTGAGCTAGTCTTGTCTAGTTCATCAGGGTGTGGCTAAGGTTTTAGGATTAAGAATTCCATCCAGTACAGCACTCAAGCTGTTCTATCCTATGTTTGAATCCATTGATCTGTAAATCATTACCCATAAACACATTCGTCATCAATATGCAACCAATTAAGTATTTTTTTCATTTATGCTATAATCAATTCAACTCTTTTGACATACAATTTCGAGAGATTGCAGACCAGAAAGGACGACCTATAACGTTAACTGACAAACTGATTATAATCAGTGATAAAATCCCAATCTTCGGGTGATCTATCTAAATGCAAGAGACAGCCCATCATTGCTCTATGTCAAGTTTAAGGTGGAGTTGTAACCAAGTTGAATAGTTTAAGAGGAAAGCTAATAGATAAACAAACAACAACTGAAAATACATGTTTGATCTCCCTAAACTTGTGTCAGTAGGATCTGTCATTACAGGAAAGGTTGGCTCCTTACTCATCATGCTCATGCAGTAATTAATTAAAATCTAATTTTATTTTTAAATATAACAACTTATCCAAAGCATAGAGTTGCTGCAGATAAGATACCTCAGGTTTTAGTCCTGCTTACCTAGCTGTTTTCCAAAGACTTGATAGATTCTACTTTAAAAGTTTAAGGACATTAACATGGTTCTGGTATTGTCATTGACAAGTGCAACATTTACTGCTGCACATGTATATATAAACAATTGTCTTATGCAAAGTTAAAATAACAGTACTAGACAAAATCTCTCTTCAAAGTGTTGTCAACTGTTGCACACAACCCTTGGAATATCATGATGCTTGCATGGCATATACATTTACCATTCTTACCAGCTGGTACAGGTATAGTCACTAGTGTAAATCAATGAATTACATATTTCTAATATTACAGAAGATAAGTAAATTCAGTGCATACAGACATTGATTTTGCAAATGAGTACATGTTGAGACTGTTATTACATTAATAATTGTCACCAGGATGTCACCTGAAGTTACTGGTGTTTAAAGTAGGACTCTGCTCCAGTTTATGTCTGGATGTGGTAAATATTACTGTCATGTGTGGAACTTGAGACAGCACCCTTGGGTAATTAGAGTAATCATTACTGCTAAATTCATTAATTGACATACCTCATACACCCTGATAGGGATTTCGCATCAACCTTTCTTTGCTGGTGTTTATGATATCAACCACTGGTTTGGTCTAGATTGATTATTTGCAGATAACTGTCATATAGCTGAAATAATGCTGAGTTCAGTTCAACAAGAAACATCCATTTATACAAATTTGAGTTTTATTTACAAATAAAAGATAGCTACGCGATAAATTGCAATGAGGAATGAAGCGTGGTTTATTTAGTAAGTAAAAAATATCGATTCATACCTTAAATGTTTACATTAATGGTTGTTACACCAAACACTAATTAGTACTGAAAATTAGTGGTAAAAAAGTAAATATTTTCATCCATTGCACCATACTTGACACTGCCAACTGTAAATCATCACTGTGCCAGGTATTTGACTATCCTGTCTATGAAAAATATGGGTTACCACTACAGATACAAGCACATGCACATATCATGAAACGTATCAGATTGTGGGCAAGGTATCGTGATATGTATAGGTTCGCACAGTTGGTGTATCGTCACAGCCCAAGTGTCCAGTAATTGTACCCCATAGATGTTGCTGGGCAACAATATAGATAAATGCAGTGGTCGAAATAAAGCTTCCAAAAGTGGGACAGATAGGACAGTCAGTATTAGGGAAAAAAGTACAGATAATCGACATGAAAATTGAGAGAATATGCGGGAAAGACCTTATTAATTTACCCCCCAACCCCCTGTTAAAAATGTTCTTGTCCAACATTGTCACAGTCAGCTTCTATTCAGGGAGGCATCATTATTGAATATGAGTAAATGTTTTTCAAAGCGTGTGCTTTTTACTTATATCCTTACAGAGGCTGTACATAATGTTGATATCGCGTATAACAAATAAACAACTCCCACTCGTCGTTTATTTCTTAATTACAAATGAAGTTTTGAATGGCTTGAATCAAACACACTATCGGGACTGCCAGTAATTGGCCTGAGTGAGATCCTCTTTTAACATGTCCATGAAAGCTCCACTTAAAATTTAAAAGGCAAAAGACCGCCTCCGTGGTCTTGTGGTAGAGCGTCCGCCCGGAGAGCGGAAGGTCCAGGGTTCGATCCCGGGCCGCGTCATACAAAAAGACGTTAAAAGATTGTACTTGTTGTTACCCTGTCTGGCGCTCGGCATTAAGGGGCTAAAACAAGTACTGGTCGGCTCGGAGTCAGTATACTGTGTCTGAGTGGGGTATTCATGTTAAACTGCGGCATGGTATCTCAGTGAGCTAGCACTATAAATCGGCATCAGTCCGGACTAGTACAAGCAGCCACACACACACATACACGTGCATGCACGTCGCTATATAAGTGCAATAATCTTGGACGCGACGTTAAACCCAATTTCACCTCACCTTAAAAGGCAAAAATGATCATTATTATATAAAGTCATACATTGTTATAATATATAACAAAGATTCATGGTGTTGAATACCATTGTATTACAATTCTATTCAATTCTTATTTTTGTTTCAATTTGAGATTCTGTGTTGATGCTCCAGGTGACAAGACCCTGAAGCAAGACCCCGTTCACCTGTGCCTTGACAAGAACCAATGGATGTGTCTGCGCTGTGTGCGTGGTTACAAGTGTGGCTTGTAGCTAGTCTTGTTTGTGTGAACCTAGTGATAGCGGAGGACTTCTATGACCTGTTGGGAGTTGGCAGAAGTGCCAATACTAAGGAGATCAGGAAGGCATTCAAGAAAATTGCAGTTAAAGCACATCCAGACAAAAATGTCGTAAGTTCTCCCCTCGACTTGTGCTTTGACCCCACACAGAAATGTGATGGAAATGGGATTATTGGGCCAATTCAGTTCTTAGACAATCAGACATTAGAGAGGTCTATAGACATGGTTGACATCCACATATATTCAAGATCTATGTATTTCTCGGCATGCTTTGTAAGTGACATGTGAGACCACTACCACATCAGCAAAGTATATGTGTGTTTGTAAGCCTTGCTCAGCAGTGTTCCAGCTACATGTGTATGACGGTTGTCAGTAATAACAGTTCTTTACAAGACAAAACAGTGATTGATATTGTCTCCTCCAGGCTCAATTATTTATGGACCGCCTCCGTGGTCAAGTGGTAGAGCGTCCACCCAGAGAGCGGAAGGTTCGGGGTTCGACCCAAGGCCGCATCAATCCAAAAGCGCTCGGCATTAAGGGGCTAAATCGGGGACTGGTCGGCTCGGAGTCAGTATACTGTGTCTGAGTGGGGTATTCATGTTAAACTGCGGCATGGTATCTCAGTGAGCTAGCACTATAAATCGACATCAGTCCGGACTAGTACAAGCAGCCACACAAACACACACACAGGAACATGCCCGCTGCTATATAAGTGCAATAATCTTGGATTCATTTTAAACCCCATTTCACCTCATTTCACCTCACCTCACCTCAGTTATTTACAGGCCGCTGTCACATTGCTGGAATATTGCTTAGATCTGCAGTTAATTGTTTTAATTTTTATTTTAAATTTTATGCCATAATCAAGTACTTTATGTTGATAATGTGAAAGAGAAAATTCGTGTCATAGCTATAACTAATAACTAAGATCTTGGCAACTGATAGTTTAGACTTGGGATATGGGCCGTTCAAACTTTAAAATAAATGAGATGTGCCCATCTGCCTACACCTGTGATAGTATGGTTAAAGATGTACCCATTGCTGTCCAGGATGATCCAAAGGCCCATGAAAAGTTTCTGCGGATCAACCGAGCATACGAGGTTTTAAAGGACGATGATCTACGGAAGAAGTACGACCTGCATGGAGAGGAAGGTTTGGAGGACAAGCAGCAAGGCCGTCACTATGAGAGCTGGCAGTGGTACCAGGATAACTTCGGTCAGGCTTACTTCCATTTCATACCAGTGTGATGAACTAGTTGCTGTGATCATAGGGTTAAGGACCATCCCAAATGACAGTATCAGTTTGGATAAATTTCGTTCAAAGTTCAAACCTTTTAAACCTGTATTCCTCTGAAGGTTCCATACAGAGCCAAATATAAAAACTAAAGTAAGGACACTTTTACTTCTCCATTGTCATGTTATAAACTAAAAATAACAGATTTTACTGAAATATTGTCAGAATTTGTCAGTGTTTGAAATAGTAACAGTAGTCTGAAAACTGAATCAAGTAACCATGGTAACATTTAGGTCAACCTAGTAAGTTCATCTAACAATTGTCCATATTATTAACATGACTAACACTTCACAATCTTCTTGGATAAAGCACATCAAGATGTTGCCTTTATATTCTTTTAATTTCTTTTCTTGAAACTCTTTTTGACAAGATTCCAATGGAAACAAACATGAGGATGATTGACGGAAAAGACACAAAAGCAGATTTGGTTTCTAGAAGTTCTTATCTCATATGTTATTTAGTTATATTTACCGTTTCTTTATAGCTTCTTATCTTGAATGTTCTGTTTTGAACTTAATATTACACATGTACTTCCGAAACAACTTTACGACAACATGACCAATATCCAGTCCCCAACAGAGTAGCCTCCCTTGAGGTAATTAGCAGAACATACAAAACCGGAGCAATAACCCAGACGATTTGGCTGTTACAATGACTTATTATAAGAGCTGAGTTTGGGTTTGTAGACTTAAAAGGTTTTGGCTGACCACCTTGTCTCAGTTTATCTGCCAGTATTATTGACAACCTTTCTATGCAACAGTGTATGTACAGGGCTGTTTCATGAACTGTCACACTTTTATCCCAGGTATCTATGATGAGGATCCGGAAATAATTACTCTCAGCCGTACTGACTTTGGTAAGTATTAGGACTGCACAGTATTACCAGTGTACCAGTACACTGTGATACGCTTTTCAAACAATACGTTTTGCAGTATGTTTCTGTGTTCTGGTATATTAGGCAAGAAAATAATATAACATGTTTTGTTATTATTTGTATTGTTTAGCCTTCAATTGATTTACACAGAAATTCATTCACAAATGATATTTCCCTTCGAAATGGATTGAGGAAACACAGAAGTGAGTTTTCTCTGAAGTTGTTATCTCCCCTGTATCCATGACTACAATCTGGCGGCGATTGACCATGCTGGATAATATTAACTTTAGTATGTAGAAAATAGGACCTGCATGTACCATGATGTACAGTTAGTGCCAATCACTGTCAGACACTTAAGGACTCAATACGTTGTAATATGTGCAGTCGTATGACTATGCATCTTGACTTTTATGCTTACCTTCAAACACTGTAGCCAGTGTCTCTGCATGTTCTTGGGTACAGCATGCATGATGTATGGTCTTCTGCCCTTTAAACATCTGAGACAAACATCACTTTGGGCTTTCCTCCCACCTTATGCTGACACACCCTGATATAACTAGAATACTGTTGACAGTGGCGTTAAACCCAACTCACTCACACGTTATTTTTCGGAAATGGATGAGGCTGTTTTCTATACTCGTTACGATGGATCTACTTAAGCTAATGTCGAACTTTGACGGATAATTGCATGTTAAAGAGAGATTGTTCCTGTTATCAACAAGTACACAAATAACAGCCTTATGTGGATGTGAAAGTGATGACATTGGTGTACATCTTCGGGAGGCAAGACTTGAGTGTGTAACAGTTACGATTGTTGAAAGCATACCAAGTGTACGTCCCCTCTCTCTGTTACAGAGCAGTCTGTGGAGGGCACGGACGACATCTGGTTCATCAACTACTATTCCACACACTGCTCCCACTGTCACGACCTGGCACCCACTGTAAGTACACCCAAATCACTGGACACGAACACAGCTTTCAACTTCCTGCTGTACATGCCTCAGAGTTGCAATACCTTTTCATTTTGACCCTTTTTTTCAGTTTTGCAGCGTATTAGCTCCTTGAAAAAATCTGAGGTTTCCAACTCCTTGACTTATAATATGAATAGCCAAACAAATAATTTTAATTTTACAAATCTATTTGTTCTCACTTAGATGAAACATTTAGCGTAAGGCATCTAATGTACTGTATTGTATGGGGAACATGGATCATGTTGTATGGTGAACACGTGTACAATGTGTAGCTGCTTCAGCAGTTGTCTCCCATAACCGGGGTAATACATTGTAATATAGATAGCCTATTATGTTTGGTTACAATCTAGGTTCGCCAGATTATGTTTCTAGGTGTGTCAACACCATACCCGTTCTGGTGGGTTTCAGCAAAGTGATAAACGTCTGTGACCTGCATCACTTCAGACTCTCTGTTGGGGGGGGATTAAATAAAAAGTTTCCACCTCATTTGTGTGCTGAGAACCTCAATTTTGAAAACTTGACTCATTCTCGATATTTCTTAACGGCTATTTGGAAATAAGTAGCTCCTTTCAAGTGGGTCATTGTCCAAAACACCCTCATGCATGTTTTGCATTCCTATCCACTATATCATGTAAAACAGAGAAATCTGCTACTGTACCTTTTTACGTATGCACTGAAAATGTTTTTACAAATCTATTGATGTATGGTGAACATGTGTATCCCAGCTTCAGCAGTTGTCGCAGTACAAATCATTGCAATATTTGTTTGTTGTAGTGGCGAGAGGTGGCTAGGCAGCTGGAGGGCGTGATCCGCATCGGGGCTGTCAACTGTGAAGACGACTGGCAACTCTGCCGCATGCAGGGCGTCAGGAGCTATCCATCACTCATCATGTACCCACAGGTGAGCTGTACCCCGTTCCACAATGCGATCATAGTGCTACGAGTTATGATCGTCTTAGCAGTACGATCGCTTTGTAGAGAACAGGGCCCTGGTCCATAGTTGCACGTAACTCATCATATACCCACAGGTGAGTGCTTCCTTAGCTACCAGTCACTCATATTTCTACAGGTGAGGCAGTTCTTGTGACCACTTGTGTGGGGAGTGCTTGCTGTGTTTGTTTAACTCTGTCGCAATTGGTTTTATCACCCATTCCCTTTTTTAGCAGATGTAAGAGGTTTCATGTGTGATACATCTATGTGTAACTCTGGTTAATCTTTCTGACATATGTTTGGCTGAGAGTTTTTGCAATTTCAGTTTAATGCTTGAAAATCCAAGTATTTTCCTGTCAGCTGAGAGAACCTATAAACAACAAAGTCAATGCTTGTCATATGACAATGTTATGATTTCAAAAGTCACGGTCACTTTGAAAGCCATTGATGACTTATGAATAGTTTCATTCAGTTAGTATGGTCCGTAATGTTATTGGTATGGAAACTTTGTATTTGTATCCTGGTTAACATGAATTAGGCTTAAAAAAAGGTTCGTGTACATGGGTTTTTATTATTGGAATTTAACAAAAGTTTATTTACATGATCTCTGGATTGACCTTGGATCAAGGTCATCAGAGATTGTTATTGTCAAACCATGGACCACATGATTTAAATTAATGAGAATTCAAAACATTTTTCAGTTAATATTTACACATTAACACTTCTTTTTTACTCACCATGTGTCAAGGTCATGTCAAATGTCAAAGTCATTCAACATTGACAGACATGTTAACAGTATGATTCTGTCTGTATTTACCCTGTGTACAGTATGCTGCAGTGTCTTTCCTTTTGTAACATCAATGCTAGCAGCTCATAACCACGATTGAAGGTCACAGTGAATATGACTTTGTATATGTTACAGTAGCTAGGACTTGATTTCCAAGCGTTCTGTTTGTGCAGCGTGAGAATTATCACGGTGACCGCAGCACCAAGGTCCTGGTGAAGTATGCGATGCAGCAGCTCAGGGTGAGGGTGGTCGAGCTCTGGGATGGAAATTACAGGACAGAGGTGGACGAAGATGAGAGTGGTCTCCCCTGGGTCATTACCTTCTGTGGAGATGGAGGAGGTGGGCTCCTTGATATTGTCTATGATGACAGCTGTTGGAAAACTTTATTAAAAAAGAAAATGAATACATGAGAAGGCTACCAATTGGTAATGGCAACGTTGAATTGTATTTGGTTGGGGACCAAGATAACAGGGACAATCAGTGTGCTTCCAGCTGTCACGCCCTGATATGGATTATTATCATTAAGTTGTGACAGGTGGACAGGCTATTATCTTTGACACTTTGGAATAAAATATGGATATGGAATGCACAGATAGTTGTCATATGTTATTGATATTTATATGTCATATGTGAATGTTGTCATGATTTAACATGGAAAATTATGTATTTGCAGATTGCTTGGAAGAAAAAAACAGTTTGAAATTGGCTGCCATGCTGGTAAGCAAACTGGGAAAATGACAGGCTTTATATGTATGGCATTGTTCTTGAATCAAGTCATATTTTGCTAATGGTACACTGCTAAGATGTAGGCAAAATTATGCCATGGACAATTGTCTCCAATTGGGCCCTCTGTCCTCCCACAACTCCGTCAATACACAAGCGACTGAATTAGGTTTAATCAAGAATTGACTTTGATAGTTTTTGCTTACATGGAGGTTTAAGTTTAAAGAAGTTTGTACACACTGTGTAAATCTGCATAGAGGCTAGGACTATAAACTTTCCAGGTTATTACAAGCATGCAGAGGCACGCGCACGCGCACTCTCACACACACGCACTCACATTTGCTCACACATTTGAGTGAGTGAGTATTATTTTACTCAGCTTGTAGCAATATTCCAGCAATATCACAGAGGGGGACACCAGAAATGGGCTACACACATTGTAGGGAGTCACATTTACCCATGTGGGGAATCAAACTCGGGTCTTTGGTGTGACAAGCAAATGCCTTAACCGCCAGGCTACCCCACTCACCTCACCTCACCTTACCTCACCTTACCTCACCTTACCTCACCTCACCTCACCTCACCTCACCTCACCTCACCTCACCTCACCTCACCCCTCCTTGTTGAGTGAGCTATTGACTTAATGCCTCTGTTTCCAGGAGGAGTTAGTGAGGGTGGGCAGCATCAACTGCCACACCAGCGCCGACCTGTGCGGGATGCTGGACCATGAGTATGGCACCTACTTCTACGGGGCAAACAATGTTGACATTGGTCAGGGGCTGGTGAGTGCAAGAGATGATATCAACAGATGGGAGTTCAATGTTTAAATGGTTTTGTTTTTATGGCCTTTGGAAACTCTTGTACTGAACACAATATTCTGAAATCTAAATCTAAATAAAAATGTATTAAAATTTCAGGTACTGTTAATGAAATTGAAAGTTGTGTGAAGACAATTTTGTCGCTGCGTAAGTCCAGCCATTGTTTATGCTATGTGACTATCTGCAGGAACTGACCAGCCTGGTGGCGCAGGAACTGGCCCGGGACATCCTGTCTCAACTCCCCGATGTCACGCCTCTCGATGAAAAGACCTTCAAGGTGAGGCAGCTACATTGAAATATGAGATATTTAGACATTTTATCCCATGCTCCATCAATTAACATCCTGTTAATTGATGTTGGATACAGATCTTAATGTCTAATGTGACCAAGAGGGGAGGCTTATAATGATCTCTCCACTCACTTTATCTTATCACAACACGAGATGAAATTCATGGTGTTTTCAATATATTTCAATGTGGCAAAACACATTCTAGCAGTCTCTCAACCTTACTCCTCCTTGTGTTCATATCACAAGTATTTATAAGTCTACTCCCAAGCACAAGACCTTTTGTCTAAAAGGAATTTCTAAAGTACCTTAAGTATTTCTGGAAAGATAAGCCTTAAACTTGATTGTTTCTGTTTGTAATCATAATCCAGATGTTTCCTTTTAATGCTTTACATACTTAATTAATATCATATCACCCTAATACATTAAGCTAAGGGAGCGGTGTGCGTCTTTTGAGTAGTATGCTTGTGCAGAGTGGTGCACCTTAATTGTGCCAGGGGGGCGGTCAGGGTAGCCTAGTGGTTAAAGCGTTCGCTCGTCGATCCGAAGACCCGGGTTCGATTCCCGACGTGGGTACAATGTGTGAAGCCCATTTCTGGTGTCCCCCGCCGTGATATTGCTGGAATATTGCTAAAAGCGGCGTAAAATCATACTCACTCACTAATTGTGCCAGGACATGTTTTGATCTTTGCTTTGTTAGTTGGTTCTGGTGGGTTTATCCAGAGCGGTGTCTGTCTATGTCACATGGGCCCTGCCCCTACCAACAATCCGATTCAACATCACATGATTGAAATTGTGTTCAAAGCGGCAAACAAACTAAACTCATCCAGGGTTTTGACAATATTTGTTTTCGCTTACCAATTTAACATGCTTCAGGTTGCTATGGTAATGTTGCAGGAAATCCGAGGGAAGCTAGAGACGGGGCAGGACAAGGCGTGGCTGATCCACTTTGTGGACGGAGAGGGACACCAGGACCTGGAGCTGAGGAAGCTGCCGGCCATGTTGGCGGACTTCCATGTAGGTGGATGCTTCTGGATGCATGTCACCATATCCCCATTGTGTAGATCGATGCTGATGATGTCAATCTCTGGATTGCCTGGTCCAGACCATTTATTTACAGACCACCATCTTATAGCTTGAATATTGCTGAGTGTGGCGTAAAAGAAACAAACAAACCAACAAAATGATTTATGCACGTTAACAGGACTTATACGCGAGTTCATTGTATGTTTTGTATGTAAGTGTGACGTTATGGTGACATTGTTACAGATAGGACGAGTGAACTGTGAGGTGATGACTGTATGTAAGTGTGACATCATGGTGACATTGTTACAGATAGGATGAGTGAACTGTGGGTGATGACTGTATGTAAGTGTGACAGCATGACTGTATGTAAGTGTGACAGTATGGTGACATTGTTACAGTTAGGACGAGTGAACTGTGAGGTGATGACTGTATGTAAGTGTGACAGCATGACTGTATGTAAGTGTGACAGTATGGTGACATTGTTACAGATAGGACGAGTGAACTGTGAGGTGATGAGGGATGCCTGCAGCAACCTGCACATCGTCAAGAGGCCCACCTTCATGGTATTCAAGGAGAGCGGGGGATCAGAGATGTATTACGGTAGGCAACAGTTTATCCTGGCAGCTACAGGCATAGGTTACACTTTGGATGCAACAAGTTTTGTGATTTAGCCAACTTCATCAGCTTGTAATGGCCAGAAGATCCTGGTTTCCTTCTCCACATGAGGACGCAGAGTCATGCTCCTATTTGGAGACTGTACACTTCTGTGGTAAGGAGGGGGCGTGGTTTGCGATGTCGTTGACAAGTTGCAGCCCTGAAGGAGTGCCAGAAGCCTATGATCATGGTTTAAGCCCAAGATTTGCCCTGATTATGTTTGGGTAATAAATTAATATTGACCTTGAGGCCTAGGCCTTGCTGTCAGTCTGACAGCTGCCTTGCCTGATCCAGACTGGATTCTGTACAGTCTGCCAGGTATAGCTGGAATTCTGCTGACTATGTAAAACAACATTCACTCACTTGTCTACAATAATATTCATAATCATAATAGGAGTTATTGACCATCTCGTGAAAGGCAAGGCCTATATGTGCTAAGGGATGCAGATTAGAGACAAACTCCAGAATGCCCATAAAGAGACTTAAGAAACTCTCAGTTAAGTCAAAGCCATAAATACTTACGCTGTACCCGTCGATTCATATTCTTTTGGTATTGTTGATTGGACAAAAAAGGAAATTCAGGGCATTGACAAAAGTGTCATGTCAGACAACAGATCCCACCACCTTCAATCACTTTATATTTACTAGTTATAATGGGAGGGCGTGGTTTGATTAACGTGGAGGCTCTTCATGATAGAATTGTATTATGCACTTTTGCACACATCTATTTGTCTGAAGATCCTCTTGTGAAGCATGTTAAGACTCATGATGAAAACATGGCATTCCAGTTTTCTTAAACTAGCCAAGGATGTGGGACATAATCTCAATGTCAATGTTGATTTTGTTGATGGTTCTGTATTGCTGGACAGTACAGAAATGAGTGTCATCCAAGCGAAATGCCATATAGAATCAGCCCAGATTCAATATTCAAGGAAAGGCTATCTGAACGACCACTGCATCGAATTTATGAGCGGTTTGTTGAGAAGGGGGCAACCTGGCTGGGAACAAGTGATAAATACAAAATCCTTTGGAATAGGCCTGTATACAGCCTCAGACCTATCCAGGCCAACAAAGCTGATCTTGTCCTTTTGGAAAAATCCAATGAAATCATTTATATAGACCTCGCTTTCAAAATGTTACGCTTGCATCCCAAGTACCAAGTTGTTCTTGGTGACTTTGGTTTGGTACGTCCCAATTGGTTGTCTGACATTACGAGAATACCCAGGTTTGCTGCCAGAAATACAGCCCTTCTGACAATCTGGGTAATGCAGAAGGCTGCAGTGTTGGGGAGTCTTCACTTTCTCCGTAAAGTTCTCGATGGGTTCGGCTAGGTAGCGCTTCCTGGGAGAAGTCCCATTGCCTGTCTGGGCTGCATGTTGAGGGGGCAAGGGCCCTGAGCTGATGATGGGCCTAACCAGCCTGACTGTGCCAGGATTATCACCCAAACCGTTTTGCTGCATTTATTTATTTTAATCCGTAAATAATTATACCTATATAATAATGAACTACTATCGCACATTAGTCCATGCACAATGCATGCTCGAAGCGCACCATCATAGTGACAAAAATGGTTAATCTTGAAAGAACATCAGGAACAGAGATGTGGGGCAAGACATGGAGAGTGAAAAGCTTGGAGACTGTCTTATATTAATTGGTTGTGTGCAAATGGAGCATTTATACATGGATGTCACTGGTATCACAATGGTCTGTTGTGTATAAATAGATGATATGTCTTTATTATTTGACTGTACCATGATGTGGTGGTGTCGAAGACGGTTTGCGTAAGAACTGTTTGTTGCAGGTCGCCTGACAGCCCATGACCTGGCTGCGTTTGCCCGAGACAGTGCTGACACCAAGCTGGAAGCACTGAGCCCCCGAGACTTCCCCCAGAGGGTTGTGCTCAGCCAGGATCCTTGGTTTGTCGACTTCTTTGCCCCTGTAAGTTTGGATTATTTGTGATACAATTTGTGATGTCATATCGTTGCTTTGTTGCACATAAATTTCTTCATCATGTCATAGAATATTACAAAGCTGATGTCTAGATAACACACATTTTTTATAAAGTTTCTTACAAAAAGGAACAATGTACAGCTCATAAATAGCGTATTAGCACTCATGAACTACAGTGTTCCCTCCGTTATAGCGCGCGGTAAAGCATGGCTTCCAAAATTTACTAACATTTTTAATAAACTCAAGTTTTCCAATGACACTATGTTTTACCCCATCTCAGAAAACATCATCATCTGATCACCACGATCACGTAACACCGGAAATACCAAATCCAACAAATCCAAACTGAAGTATGCAATTTAATCCTATTATCATAATATATGGTAATTAACAAATTGTTCATTGTTTATCTGGACTAATGTTTGCAATATATTTATTAATTATATTTAAAATTTCATTCAATAATTATAATAATGTTTACAATCTCGGCGAAATCGTATGCGAAGTGATCGGTGGTAGATCGTACAACTCACCGTTATTTACAGTAAGTTAACCATGATCAGATTACCGCTATTGATGCCTTCAAACAAACTTTAGTTGCAAGAGAATGGATACACATATCATAGTCGTACAATGACTCGCCAAAAGTCATATTTGATGCAGTTTGACCATGTTGACTATTAAATGTCAACATTATGTTTTCGAAATACATGTAGCGCTGGAAGTCCCTATGGTGACTGGCATACCACCTGTACCAAAGTGCCATTATTCTGGTTCTTAGCATTTTGAGTATATATGGTGGAAGCTGAAACTAAAATAACAAATGATAAATCATCATGTCTAGTGATCAAATTTCATACTTTTATTGACCAATTTTGTTTGTTCACCTGAATTCACTGAAGGGATATGATGTGTTGTTTTTTTTAAAGCGGATATTAATACTCGATAAAGCTTTTTTTACACTATGAATCATAAATAACTTCTATTCTAATCTTTTTTGAAACTTTGGAACGTGCAACATAGATCATGTTAGGTCGGCAGAGCATGTATACTGTTTTGTTGGTGATCTACCACCTACGACTGGGTGGTAAGGCTCACTGACTTGGTTGATGCATGTCATTGATCCCAATTGCGTGGATCGATGCTCATGATATCAATCACTGGATTGTCTGGTCCAGACTCCATTATTTACACACTGTCGTCATATAGCTGGAATATTGCTGAGTGCGGCGTAAAACAACAAACCAACCAACCAACCAACCTACGACTCGACCTTCGTTAAACCGCTGATCATCTATAACGCTCATCAATTATTTGGACCCCGAAGGTAGCGTTGTAGCGAGGGATCAGTGTATAGTCAGGAAAAGTTCACTTTGGACTGGTAATCTGTAATTGCTCATTTCATAGAAGGTATGTGGAATAGGATCAACATGAATGATACTACTGAACTAATACCCTATTCTTCCTGTTACCCTCGTCTTGTTACTACCCGCTTCTTCCTACTACCCACTTCTTCCTTCTACCCGCTTCTTTCTACTACCTGTTTCTTCCTTCTACCCTGTTCTTCCTTCTCCCCTGATCTTCCTTCTATCCTGTTCTTCCTTCTATCCTGTTCTTCCTTCTCACCTGATCTTCCTTCTACCCTGTTCTTCCTACTACCCACTTCTTCCTTCTACCCTGTTCTTCCTACTACCCTGTTCTTCCTTCTGTCCTGTTTTTCCTACTACCCTGTTCTTCCTCCTGTCTTGTTCTTCCTTCTGTCCTGTTCTTCCTACTACCCTGTTCTTCCTTCTGTCCTGTTCTTCCTACTACCCTGTTCTTCCTCCTGTCCTGTTCTTCCTTCTGTCCTGTTCTTCCTACTACCCTGTTCTTCCTTCTCCCCTGATCTTCCTTCTACCCTGTTCTTCCTTCTGTCCTGTTCTTCCTACTACCCTGTTCTTCCTTCTGTCCTGTTTTTCCTACTACCCTGTTCTTCCTCCTGTCTTGTTCTTCAATCTGTCCTGTTCTTCCTACTACCCTGTTCTTCCTCCTGTCTTGTTCTTCCTTCTGTCCTGTTCTTCCTCCTGTCTTGTTCTTCCTACTACCCTGTTCTTCCTTCTGTCCTGTTCTTCCTACTACCCTGTTCTTCCTTCTATCCTGTTGTTCCAACTACCCTGTTCTTCCTTCTGTCCTGTTCTTCCTACTACCCTGTTCTTCCTTCTGTCTTGTTCTTCCTTCTGTCCTGTTCTTCCTACTACCCTGTTCTGCCTTCTGTCCTGTTCTTCCTACTACCCTGTTCTTCTTCCTGTCTGGTTCTTCCTTCGGTCCTGTTCTTCCTACTACCCTGTTCTTCCTTCTGTCCTGTTCTTCCTACTACCCTGTTTTTTCTCCTGTCTTGTTCTTCCTTCTGTCCTGTTCTTCCTTCTGTCCTGTTCTTCCTTCTGTCCCGTTCTTCCTCCTACCCTGTTCTTCCTTCTGTCCTGTTCTTCCTACTACCCTGTTCTTCCTTCTGTCCTGTTCTTCCTACTACCCTGTTCTTCCTTCTGTCCTGTTCTTCCTACTACCCTGTTCTTCTTCCTGTCTTGTTCTTCCTTCGGTCCTGTTCTTCCTACTACCCTGTTCTTCCTACTACCCTGTTTTTTCTCCTGTCTTGTTCTTCCTGCTGCCCTGTTCTTCCTTCTGTCCTGTTCTTCCTTCTACCCTGTTCTTCCTTCTGTCCTGTTCTTCCTACTACCCTGTTCTTCCTTCTGTCCTGTTCTTCCTACTACCCTGTTCTTCTTCCTGTCTTGTTCTTCCTTCGGTCCTGTTCTTCCTACTACCCTGTTCTTCCTTCTGTCCTGTTCTTCCTACTACCCTGTTTTTTCTCCTGTCTTGTTCTTCCTGCTGCCCTGTTCTTCCTTCTGTCCTGTTCTTCCTTCTACCCTGTTCTTCCTTCTGTCCTGTTCTTCCTACTACCCTGTTCTTCCTTCTGTCCTGTTCTTCCTACTACCCTGTTCTTCCTTCTGTCCTGTTCTTCCTACTACCCTGTTCTTCCTCCTGTCCTGTTCTTCCTACTACTCTGTTCTTCCTTCTACCCTGTTCTTCCTTATGTCCTGTTCTTCCTACTACCCTGTTCTTCCTTCTGTCCTGTTCTTCCACCTGTCCTGTTCTTCCTACTACCCTGTTCTTCCTTCTGTCTTGTTCTTCCTTCTGTCTTGTTCTTCCTTCTGTCTTGTTCTTCCTTCTGTCCTGTTCTTCCTGCTGCCCTGTTCTTCCTTTTGTCCTGTTCTTCCTACTACCCTGTTCTTCCTCCTGTCCTGTTCTTCCTACTACCCTGTTCTTCCTTCTGTCTTGTTCTTCCTTCTGTCCTGTTCTTCCTGCTGCCCTGTTCTTCCTTTTGTCCTGTTCTTCCTACTATCCTGTTCTTCCTTCTGTCCTGTTCTTCCTACTACCCTGTTCATCCTCTGTCCTGTCCTTCCTACTACCCTGTTCTTCCTACTACCCTGTTGTTCCTACTACCCTGTTCTTCCTTCTCCCCTGTTCTTCCTACTACCCTGTTCTTCCTTCTGTCTTGTTCTTCCTTCTGTCCTGTTCTTCCTACCGCCCTGTTCTTCCTTCTGTCCTGTTATTCCTACTACCCTGTTCTTCCTTCTCCCCTGATCTTCCTTCTACCCTGTTCTTCCTTCTGTCCTGTTCTTCCTACTACCCTGTTCTTCCTTCTGCCCTGTTCTTCCTACTACCCTGTTCTTCCTTCTGTCCTGTTCTTCCTACTACCCTGTTCTTCCTTCTGTCCTGTTCTTCCTACTACACTGTTCTTCTTCCTGTCTTGTTCTTCCTTCGGTCCTGTTCTTCCTTCTGTCCTGTTCTTCCTCCTGTCTTGTTCTTCCTACTACCCTGTTCTTCCTTCTGTCCTGTTCTTCCTCCTGTCCTGTTCTTCCTTCTGTCCTGTTCTTCCTACTACCCTGTTCTTCCTTCTGCCCTGTTCTTCCTACTACCCTGTTCTTCCTACTACCCTGTTCTTCCTTCTCCCCTGTTTTTCATTCTGTCCTGTTCTTCCTACTACCCTGTTCTTCCTACTACCCTGTTCTTCCTTCTCCCCTGTTCTTCCTACTACCCTGTTCTTATCTCCGCCTGTTCTTCCTTCTACCCTGTTCTTATGTCCGCCTGTTCTTCCAGTGGTGCCCACCCTGCATGAAGCTGCTGCCAGAGTTCAGGAAAGCAGCCAAGTCATTCAGTGAGACGGTCAACTTCGGCACTGTGGACTGCACTGTACACTCCCAACTCTGCAACAATGTAGGTTGCAATTCTAAACTGCTACACTCAACACAATAGCAAACAAAAATAAAGGAACAATTTCTTAAGTCTGAGGCCTTATTATTTTCTCAGTATAGCTTATGTACCTTATTTTTGTGGAGCATGTAATCCAGGCTGCTAAACTGAACAGAAAAGTAAGGAAAAATAAAGAAACCGTTTCTTATATCTGTATAAATATTTCTTATATCTGAATAAATATTTGTAATGTCTGTATAAATAAGTTAATAAGGCCTTATATAGCATATGTATGTTAAATTATGTGGTTGATTTATGTCAGTTTGTTGGTTTCAGTACAATATCAGGTCGTACCCGACCACCATCTTGTACAACCAGAGCATGCCCCACCAGTACCACGGCCACCACAGCGCAGACTCCATTGTCGAGTTCCTTCAGGTCAGTCCCCACTTCATGCTGTCGAGTCCCGAACACTGTTAGAGCTAACATGAACACGAATCTTCGACTAGCCCAGATGAACTCTGAAAGTAGTCGTGTAATGTACTCTCTAAATACAGAACAGGTTATGGATCATAAGTAACTTCAGGAACAAATTGGAGAAAATATATTAATCTATAAAAAGTTTCATGTCTTAAAGTCAAAATGTTACATCTTACTTTCTTTCTTCCAATGACCAGCTGACCAATTGAATTTTTTTATTTTATTCCAAATTTGTCGATTGTCAGCAATCAATTAACCAAGTGATTTAACCCAAACTAACAGCTAACTAGTGTGACATTTGTGTAGGACACACTGAACCCTCCGGTGATGAGGCTGAACCAGGAGCAGTTCAGGGAACATGTGGCCCAGAAGAAGGTGGAGGAGGTGGTGCTGGTGGACTTCTTCGCCCCCTGGTGCGGCCCTTGCCAGCAGCTTGCCCCGGAGTGGAGGAGACTCGCCAAGGTGAGTGGGGAAAGGGGGCGTGTCATATGTAAATATGTCCGAGTGATGATAGCACTTGTCCCCGGAGTGGAGGAGACTCGCCAAGGTGATTCGGGAAGGGGGGAGCGTCATATGTAATTCTGTCCAAGAGATGTCAGCACTTGGCCCCGGAGTGGAGGACACTCGCCAAGGTGAGTGGGGAAGGGGGGGGTATGTAAATATGTCCGAGTGATGGCAGCACTTGGCCCAAGAGTGGAGGAGACTCACCAAGGTAAGTGGGGAAGGGGGGGTGTCATATGTAAATATGTCCGAGTGATGATAGCACTCGGCCCTGGAGGGGAGGAGACTCGCCAAGGTAAGTGGGGAAGGGTGTGTGTCGTATATAATTTTGTCCAAGAGTTGTCAACAGCTTGCCCCAGTGTTGAGGAGACTCGCCGAGGTATGTAGAAAGTGGGCCTGTCATGTATAATTATGTCTGAGTGATGGCAGCACTTGCAAAGGTAAGTAGGAAGTGGGTGTGTCATATGTATCAATGTCCAAGAGATGTCAGCAGCTGGCCCCGGAGTGGAGGAGACTCATGGAGGTTGTAGGAAATAGGTGTGTCATGTGCAATTATGATGTCAGCATCTGGCCCAAGTGGAAGAGACTTGTGAAGGTGCGTGTCGAAGGTGGCATGTTGTGTAATCGTATAATCACAGTGATACGAGTGAGACCAGGATACACAGCTTCCCAATTAGGTGTCTGTAAACATGACATGTGTTCTATGTTATAGAGTAATCATTTATTGGTAAATTAATCCATATCACCCCTTTTACCACACTTTAGTGCTGGAGACTCCTTGTTGCATGTGTAACAAGTCGGTTGTTTGTCTGCAGATGGTGAAGAATGTGAATAACATCAAGGTGGCCCAGGTGGACTGTGTGGAACACCAGGGCCTCTGTCAGCAGGAGAGTATCACCTCCTACCCCACCGTGAGGCTGTACCCATCAGGGGCCTCTGGGTCAGGCAGCTTCCAGTAAGTAGAGACAGTTCATACCCTTTCATCAGGTTGTATCCAGCAGGGGCTTCCGGGAGGTCCAGTCATCTCGCATACAGCATGAGGTGGGGAAGCGGGGTAGCCTAGTTGTTAAAGTGCTTGTCATGCCAAAGGCCCAGGTTCAATTCCCTGAATGGGTACAATGTATGAGGCCCATTTCTGGTGTCCCCCGCCTTGATATTAGTGGGATATTGCTAAAAGCGGTGTAAAACCATACTCCCTCTCTCACTCCAGCATGAGGCTGTATACATGTCCTAAGGTTTGTGAGTTGGCATAAAGTGCATGTGATTGTGTAATAATGATAACTTGCACCTTTCTTTGTAGAGTGAGTGGGTGAGTGTGTTTCTACGCCGCTTTTCGCAATATCCAGCAATATCACAGCAGGGAACGCCAGAAATGGGTTTCACTCATTGTATCCATGTGAGGAATCAAACCCTTTAGCCACTCGGCTACCCCACCACCCCTTCCACTGTACAGTGTTGAGAGTACACACATCACTGTTGACATCAACATTGATGTCCTTGTGATACTAGAAGATACAACAGCTGATAATAAAGTGTAACCAAGTATAGATATTTTAGAAATTCACCTCATTTTTATTGGGAAATACTTAATTCTGACACCAAATAATCTGGTCTTCAGTCTCATGTAGTAATGTCTGTGTCGCCAGCATGTACAATGGGTTTCATCGAGACGCCAACTCCCTGCGAGCCTGGGCCTACGAGTTCCTCCCAAGCAAGGTGTCAGTGCTCCGCCAGTACAACTTCAGGCAGGTGGTCCTGGAGAGCAGTGATTCTTGGATTGTGGACTTCTACACTCCCTGGTGTGGACATTGCCAGGTGTTCAAACCAGAGTTCGAGAAGGTTGCGGAGGTGAGGAGGTTTAACTAGTCAGAGGATTAAGAACTAAAACAAAATTAAGAACTTTTCTTTGTGAAATTTTGAAGAACCTTTTACTCGTGTAAACAGATAGGTGTAACCTGTCCAACACAAAAAATATTAAGGATAAACAACATGTTTGTTTGTTAGCTGTGGTCATGTTCTCAAGACAGTTATTTTGTCTACCAGCAACTTGAAGGTGTAGCACATGCAGGAAAAGTTGACTGTGACTCTGAGCCTTGGATCTGCCAGGAAGTTGGTGTTCAAGCTTACCCGACAGTCAGGTTCTTTCAAGGGACTGACAGCTCACGTAACGCTCAGGTGAGAGGCCAGTAGATGTGTCCTGTGTCCCTGTCGCTTTCCCTGTGTCCTCATACCTCTGTGTCTGTAACCCCTGTGTCAGTGACCTCACATCCCCAGTGTCTTTGTCATCATATTCCCTGTGTATGTGTCCCCATATCTCCTGCGTCTGTGTCCTCATATCCCCTGTGTCTGTGTCCTCATATCCCGTGTCTGTGACCTAATATCTCCTGTACCTGTGTCCTCATATCCCCAGTGTCTGTGACCTCATATCCCCTGTGTCTGTGGCCCCATATCTCCTGTGTCTGTCCTCATATCCCCTGTATCTGTGTCCTCATATCCCAAGTGTCCTTGTCCTCATATCCTGTGTCTGTGACCTAATATCTCCTGTACCTGTGTCCTCATATCCCCTGTGTCTATGTCCTCATATCCCCTGTGTCTGTGTCCTCATGTTTCCTGTGTCTGTGTCCTCATATCCCCTGTGTCTGTGTCCTCATATCACCTGTGTCTGTGACCTCATATCCCCTGTGTCTGTGTCCTGATATCCTGTGTCTGTGTCAGTGACCTCATATCCCCAGTGTCTTTGTCCTCATATCCCCTGTGTCTGTGTCCTGATATCACCTGTGTCTGTGTCCTCATATCCCCTCTGTCTGTGTCCTGATATCCCCTGTGTCTGTCCTCATATCCCCTGTGTCTGTGTCCTCATATCCCCTGTGTATGTGTCCCCATATATCCTGTGTCTGTGTCCTCATATCCCGTGTCTGTGACCTTATCTCCTGTACCTGTGTCCTCATATCCCCAGTGTCTTTGTCATCATATCCCCAGTCTCTTTGGCCTCATATCCCCTGTGTCTGTGTCCTCATATCCCCTTTGTCTGTGTCCTGATATCCTGTGTGTCTGTGTCAGTGACCTCATATCCCCAGTGTCTTTGTCTTCATATCCCCTGTGTCTGTGTCCTCATGTCCCGTGTCTGTGACCTTATCTCCTGTACCTGTGTCCTCATATCCCCAGTGTCTTTGTCATCATATCCCCAGTCTCTTTGGCCTCATGTCCCCTGTGTCTGTGTCCTCATATCCCCTGTGTCTGTGTCCTGATATCCTGTGTGTCTGTGTCAGTGACCTCATATCCCCAGTGTCTTTGTCTTCATATCCCCTGTGTCTGTGTCCTCATATCCCGTGTCTGTGACCTTATCTCCTGTACCTGTGTCCTCATATCCCCAGTGTCTTTGTCATCATTTCCCCAGTCTCTTTGGCCTCATATCCCCTGTGTCTGTGTCCTCATATCCTGTGTGTCTGTGTCCTGATATCCTGTGTGTCTGTGTCAGTGACCTCATATCCCCAGTGTCTTTGTCCTCATATCCCCTGTGTCTGTGTCCTCATGTTTCCTGTGTCTGTGTCCTCATATCCCCTGTGTCTGTCCTCATATTTCTTGTGTCTGTGTCCTCATATCCCCTGTGTCTGTCCTCATATTTCTTGTGTCTGTGTCCTCATATCCCCTGTGTCTGCGTCCTCATGTTTTCTGTGTCTGTGTCCTCATGTTTCCTGTGTCTGTGTCCTCATATCCCCTGTGTCTGTCCTCACGTTTTCTGTGTCTGTGTACTCATATCCTCTGTGTCTGTCCTCATATTTCTTGTGTCTGTGTCCTCATATCCCCTGTGTCTGTGTCCTCACGTTTTCTGTGTCTCTGTCCCTATATCCCCTGTGTCTGTGTCCCTATATCCCCTGTGTCTGTGTCCTCATATCCCCTGTGTCTGTGTCCCTATATCCCCTGTGTCTGTGTCCTCATATCCCCTGTGTCTGTCCTCACGTTTTCTGTGTCTGTGTCCTCATATCCCCTGTGTCTGTCCTCATATTTCTTGTGTCTGTGTCCTCATATCCCCTGTGTCTATCCTCATATTTCTTGTGTCTGTGTCCTCATATCCGCTGTGTCTGTGTCCTCATATCCCCTGTGTCTCCATGTCCCAGTGTTGACATTTTGTCCATGAGGTTGCGAGACGCTGAAACACTGGTGCTTAGCTGGCACATATCTCACTTCAGTCCCTGCCCATGGGACAGCCGTTCTCTCGGTCTCCATGCCTTGTCTTGTCTGTGGGAACATGTGCTGGCTATTGACATATGAGAAGGGGAGACAACTCACACAGATGCATATTTCCAACTCACTGTGACATCACTGCATAGTTTGGATAGAGGTCAATTAAGTATAGGTTAGACCACGAGGACCTAGTGTCTAATTGTTGAAATGGTTAGTTAAACCACGAGGTGCACAGCACCGAGTGGTTTAATCAACCATTTCAACGATTAGACACTGGGGTCCGAGTAGCCTAACATTCATAAACCATGTACAACATTTATGGCACCTAAAATGCTTAAAAACATTGTTTTCTTAAAGGTTTTTTGAAAGGTATTCCGGAACTCTATGCTCAACTGTGAGAACACTGTGTGAGTTGGCCCTGCGTGAAGCACATGAAATGTGTTCCCCGAGCCTTTCACACGTGCACCTCGCACTTTGCCGATTTGGGTTATGAAATGCATGTCCCGGGGCAAGTATATCATTCATTTTGGACCAACTCGAGCACATTGTTCAATCAATTAATATTACTTGCCTATGTTGATGCACCTATTATGAGCAAATATAGCCCTGATCAAGATAATAGTAATTTCTTTTCCATCTGTTTGTTTTGTTGAACGAAAGCTACAAAATCACAAGTACTGTACAAATACTAGAATGCATAGAGTAACATACTGTAAAAAAATTGCATAAAACACATTTCGCAATTCATAAAGGGATAAGCAATTGGTACTGATGTAAGTAAATATTTAGTTGTTAATTCCATACCCTATCTCCCATGTTGCCGAGGCAGAACCCTACATTCGTTAGCCTTCAGTGCGGACTCCTTGGGTTCGAATCCCGCTGGCGACAAAAGTTTTTCATGAAATTGTTCAAAAGATAGAGGAAAAAACAAGATCCGTCATTGCCAAGTGGTGTTTAGCTAACAATTCAGTTAGACCACGGTCAAAGACAAAGCAGCCATGGTTTAAGTTCCTTAGAATAACAATGCACTGTGTTGTTAACTGTGAAAGGGAAGTCTATCCTGTTTTACAACTACAATATTCATGTTCTCATGCCAAATACCAATGATACCATAATATTTCATCCAGCAACTCATCAAGAATTAGACATAAGCAAATCAATCTACTGCTAGTCCAGAACATTTCAAGGCTTCAAATCCAATTAATCATATTTTTTATCTGAATAGATTGCAGCACTCATGTATAATTATGTTACAATAGCTGTTTGGCCACATGTAGGTGTGTTCTTGTTCATAATTTGTATTTTTCTCAAATTTCAGCATGCTTATGGTTGGGACATTCAGAGTCAGAATGCAGATGAAATAATAACTTTTGTGAAACAGAATGCTAGGAAAATGGTAAGATTTCATGCTGAAATTTTTATTTCTCATTCATCTTTCCTACGATAAGATGGTTCTTCCCGATGTTAAACTAACAATGGATTCAGGACTGACTAGGTTATTCCAATTTGACACATGTATCAGGTTTTGATTGTGCTTGAATTGATGAGACAGTGTTTGGATGGATTTCATGCTGAAATTTTTATTTCTCACTCATCTTTCCTACGATAAGATGGTTCTTCCCGATGTTAAACTAACAATGGATTCATGACTGACTAGGTTATTTCAATTTGACACATGTATCAGGTTTTGATTGTGCTTGAATTGATGAGACATTGTTTGGATGGATGAGACAGTGTTTGGATGGATGGATTAGACATTGTTTGGATGGATGAGACATTGTTTGGATGGATGAGACATTGTTTGGATTGATGAGACAGTGTTTGGATTGATGAGACAGTGTTTGAATGGATGAGACAGTGTTTGGATGGATGAGACAGTGTTTGGATGAGTGAGACAGTGTTTGGATGGATGAGACAGTGTTTGGATGGATGAGACACTGTTTGGATGGATGAGACAGTGTTTGAATGGATGAGACAGTGTTTGGATGGATGAGACAGTGTTTGGATGGATGAGACAGTGTTTGGATGGATGAGACAGTGTTTGAATGGATGAGACAGTGTTTGGATGGATGAGACAGTGTTTGAATGGATGAGACAGTGTTTGAATGGATGAGACAGTGTTTGGATGGATGAGACAGTGTTTGAATGGATGAGACAGTGTTTGGATGGATGAGACAGTGTTTGGATGGATGAGACAGTGTTTGAATGGATGAGACAGTGTTTGAATGGATGAGACAGTGTTTGGATGGATGAGACAGTGTTTGAATGGATGAGACAGTGTTTGGATGGATGAGACAGTGTTTGGATGGATGAGACAGTGTTTGAATGGATGAGACAGTGTTTGGATGGATGAGACAGTGTTTGAATGGATGAGACAGTGTTTGGATGGATGAGACAGTGTTTGGATGGATGAGACAGTGTTTGAATGGATGAGACAGTGTTTGGATGGACGAGACAGTGTTTGAATGGATGAGACAGTGTTTGGATGGATGAGACAGTGTTTGGATGGATGAGACAGTGTTTGGATGAGTGAGACAGTGTTTGGATGGATGAGACAGTGTTTGGATGAGACAGTGTTTGGATGGATGAGACAGTGTTTGGATGGATGAGATAGTGTTTGGATGGATGAGACAGTGTTCGGATGAGACAGTGTTTGGATGGATGAGACAGTGTTTGGATGGATGAAACAGTGTTTGGATGGATGAGACAGTGTTTGAATGGATGAGACAGTGTTTGGATGAATAAGACAATGTTTGAATGGATGAGACAGTGTTTGGATGGATGAGACAGTGTTTGGATGGATGAGACAGTGTTTGGATGGATGAGACAGTGTTTGGATGGATGAGACAGTGTTTGAATGGATGAGACAGTGTTTGGATGGATGAGACAGTGTTTGGATGGATTTGACAGTGTTTGAATGGATGAGACAGTGTTTGGATGGATGAGACAGTGTTTGGATGGATGAGACAGTGTTTGCATGGATGAGACAGTGTTTGCATGAGAAGTTACTAAATGAATGAGAAGATACTGGTTGAAAAAGGTGAGTTTACTGGTTGACTGAGGAGTTTACTCGTTGAATGAGGTGAGTTTACTGGTTTTATGAGGACTTTTCTGGCTGAATTAGTTTTCTGGTTGAATGAGGACTTTTCTGGTTGAATGAGGTGTTTACTGGTTGAAAGAGGATATACTGGTTGAATGAGGGTTTATTGGTTGAAAGAGGAGTTACTTGTTGAAAGAGGATATACTAGTTGAATAAGGACTTTTCTGGTTGAATGAATGATTTATGACTATTATATTGGAGATTATCATTGGTGATATATTCTGTAACATGCTATGCGTTGATATTTGTTTTAGGGCCATGATGAGTTATGATGTCTGAGGACCGTAGACAACAATCGAAATGAGTGAACATCTCCGAGGAATAATCTCAAAGCAAATTCTAAACAGTCAATCTGATCCTGCTACACCTCAAGCCTTACAAGTCATACACAGAGTGGACTGTACGCTGAAACCCTGTGAATCTGACTTCCCGTCTAGGATTCTTGGAAACCATGTGTGTACAGTGTTATACAATGTTATACAGTGTCATACAGTGTCATACAGTGTCATAAAGAGCCATACAGTGCTATACAGTGTATATTGTGTGATAAAGTGTTGTACAGTAAAGTCTTGTTAGTTTGGCCACCATTAAACTGGAAACCCATCCTTCTGGAGGATCGGTTTAAGAAGAGAATATGGAATTAAAGGGACATTACCGTAAAACATTATTTTATAATTCATCATTTGATTATCCAGACCAGTTCACTGGAAACAGTACCGTCTGGATTAATTGGGTTACACTGTATTACGCTTAACCATGGATCGCTGATCTGGATCATTTCAGTTTGAACGCTAGTGTCACGACTAATAGGTTACACTATATAACACTTGACCATGGATCATTATTCCAGGTGATATCAGAGGCAACACAAGCGTCATGATTTACTGGGTGTCACTGTATCTTGTTTGCTGAACGGATTTTGTAATGATACATTTTGTAATGATTTGTATCTCAGTGGGGATTCTGGGTAAGAATATAGGTCCCCAGCTACAGCTGGACTATTGCCGAGGGCGGCGTTAAAAAACAAACATAACAGAAGGTAGTGATGTTGCAATACAAAACCAATTACAGATTAACTATGGTAACATTAAGGAATCAGGTGTTCTTTATGACCCTTTTTCGCGTAGTTTATATAAGAGTATCATCAATTTACGTACATGCATTTGTTAGTTGATACATGACTTTATGATCTGAAACAAATGTTGCAATGATACTTATACTTGGGTAAATTGTTACATCTCTTTTTGTTGGAATAGTTCAATGCTTACATATATGTTATTCCTGAGGGACTGTCGGGGTAGCCTAGTGGATAAAGCGTTCGCTCGTCACGCCGAAAACCTGGGTTCAATTCCCTGATACGGGTACAATGTGTGAAGCCCATTTCTGGTGTCCCCCGCTGTGATCTTGCTGAAATATTGCTAAAAGCGGCGTAAAACCATACTCACTCACTCACTGATTTCTGAATTGTTGGGTGTTTCTATTTGTGGTTACCTGTATATCAGGATCCTTCAGAATCTAAAGTATTTGGTTAGAGGAATCTCCTGTTTTACATGTTGATTGCATCAGTTGGTAGACAGAATAAGTTAATCAGGAAATCATAAACAAATGATACTTAACATGATGTGTATAATTGCTGAACATGTGAAGCTAGTTTGTTAAAACTTGAGACACATTTAAAATGATTTGAAGTGATAGCTAAATTTGGATGTTAGATGTATCATGTAAATATTGTGTATTTCATATTTATTGTGAAAGGAAACTCACTCCATAAAGGAAAAAAAGGGTACTTTTTCATGAAATAGTAGTCAATTCAATTCAATAGTTTATTGTATAAAAGGCCATTGAAATACATGTAGATCTCATGGTTTAAGAACACAAAATATCCTTCACTATGTCTTCATTTCTATTTCTTAATTTTCACCTGGCTGTTGCCAGTGTACATGTCCATTCATCAAATATAGTAACTTTGTTTAAATGAAGAAATGAAAATAGTTTTTATCTGCTGTTCTGTGCAAGACATGGGTGACAGCCCTTTTTATATCCATTTTCCAGGTGTGGTTTTAACTCTTCAATGTGTACATAGTTTGGTGCTGTATTATGTACAACTTGTTCTTGATATTCAGTTACCATTCAGTGCATACAACGACTGGAGAATAATAGTTTCTCTGTAAATCTTTTTCTTGGCAGTATGTCAGGTGTCTGGACCTGGTGCAATAGTCGTGATATAATATGGGGAATACGTTTATTGTCCCAGTATTTCTGTCAACAAATCGGAAAGCAAGAGACACAATACCAGCTGTTGATGACAGATTTGATGATATCTAACATACCATTTGAACCTTTACCCTGTTTTTTTTTGTATTCAAACTTTTTAGTCTTTGATTGGCATCTAGAAGTTGGAAGAACGACTTCCTTATTCCTTGTGACCTTTTACACTTCGTTACAGACAATAAGGAAGTTGTCCTTGAAAAAATACATCAAACCTTTCCGATGTTAAAATTAAAATTGTGATTTACCAAATGCAAATAACTAATATTCCTACAGCTTTAAGATGCAGTGACTATGTCTGTATGTCACTCTGCTTGAGACTGATCCCTTCCTTTGTAATGCAGGAACTTAATGGGTCCCTTGACTGCACTTTGAGAATGAGTAAGTGACTTGAATTCAACTCAATTCTCAATTTTTAGGGTCCATGCTTCCTCGTTGCAAGCTCCTATATATAGCCCTATGTACAGTTTTTCAATAGGAACATTACAAAAACATGGTTTTCATTTCATAACAGGCAATATTACATCAAGTATTTGAAAGGCATTTAGAAGTGATACACATAAGGAAGAGAATTTCTGGATGTCAACTTTTTTATTATGAGGAACACAACGTACATACTTCACCTGAAGAAGGAGTAAGTATATGCTCCGAAGTGTTGTGTTCCTCATGATAAAGAAGTTGACATCCATACATTCTCTTCCTAATATGAGGTCAGTCAATTATTAAGCTCTGATACGACATCAAATCAATAAGAACTGCTACTGATCCATCATGGGATAAGAAGCTATCAGCATTATGTATATGTATTTGTTTTGTATTTCTGTGATATTCTCAGCAGTCTGGACCCATACACAAGGAGACATTCCTGTGAGACAGGTGCCTGTGGTGATACCAGCTATTGTGTTGTGTGTGTGTGTGTTGAGCTAGTCAGGTACTGCTTACTTTATTCAGGTACTCATTTCTTTAGTCTGGTATTGCTTACATCAGATGTGTACTGCTTACATTAGTCCATTACTGCTTACATCACATGTGTACTGCTTACATCAGTTGTATACTGCTTACATCAGATGTGTACTGCTTACATCACATGTGTACTGCTTACATCACATGTGTACTGCTTACATCAGTTGTATGCTGCTTACATCACATGTGTACTGCTTAAATCAGTTGCATGCTGCTTACATCACATGTGTACTGCTTACATCAGTTGTATACTGCTTACATCAGATGTGTACTGCTTACATCACATGTGTACTGCTTACATCAGATGTGTACTGCTTACATCAGTTGCATGCTGCTTACATCACATGTGTACTGCTTACATCAGTTGTATGCTGCTTACATCACATGTGTACTGCTTACATCAGTTGTATGCTGCTTACATCACATGTGTACTGCTTAAATCAGTTGCATGCTGCTTACATCACATGTGTACTGCTTTCATCACATGTGTACTACTTACATCAGATGTGTACTGCTTACATCAGATGTGTACTGCTTACATCAGTTGTATACTGTTTACATCAGATGTGTACTGCTTACATCAGTTGTATACTGCTTACTTCATTCCGGTACTGTTTTAGTTGGGTACTGCTTGCTTCAGAAGGGTATTGCTTACTTCATTAAGGTACTGCTTGTTCAGTTGGGTACTGCTTGCTTCAGAAGGGTATTGCTTACTTCATTAAGGTACTGCTTGTTCAGTTGGGTACTGCTTGCTTCAGAAGGGTATTGCTTACTTCATTAAGGTACTGCTTGTTCAGTTGGGTACTGCTTGCTTCAGAAAGGTATTGCTTACTTCATTGAGGTACTTCTTGTTCAGTTGGGAACTGCTTGCTTCAGAAGGGTATTGCTTATTTCATTTAGGTACTGCTTGTTTCAGTCAGGTAGCCCTTTCATTAGGCAGTTTAATATTTTTCATTGTATTGTCTGTAACAGAAAATAACAAACGTAAATAATATCAGTGAAACAATTTAATACTGCTTGGTAATAGGTCAGTGTCATACATTCATAGAACAACTACTCGTTCTCCAGACCTGTAATAAGGTCTAGAGGTGTGTTTCCCTTCTGTCAATGACCTTGCTTATTTCCCTTAAAACCTGTTTATAAGCCTGGCATCAGTACAGATTAAACATCCCCCTGTCAGGGTTAGAAATTGGCACTATAGTCCTACAGTCCTTGCCACACTGGCCAACAGTTAAGGAATTATAAGGGCTAGGAGAAATTTGCCACATTTAAGGGTTTTGCGATATGTTATGTTTCATTATGAGGACTAGTGGACGACAATGTTAAGTTTCTGCCTGTGACTGGACATCATCAGTGGTCCTGAGGCACGTTAAGTGTCTGTGTAGATGACGTGATGGCCATATCCTTGTGACAGACTGACAATATTGCAGTCTGGGCTAAGTGTTTGTTCTGAATGGTCTCAGGTTACTCTCTAAAATAAACCTGAGGCCAACTTGGGAATTAATAGATTATAGTTATATATAGTTGGGTATTTCTTAATATTCATGTGCTTGGGTATCCCTTGGTCAGTGGGTATGACTTCCTGAAGAAGGCACAGGTCTGCAGCCCAATATCGCCTACACTGTGTTGTTCATCTGGCTGTGACTTTGTAACATACTGCTTTGGTCACTGACCTTTGTGATTTTATGTATTATTTCTGTTTATTTGGTAATATTAAGATGTTGCTTTACGGGAGAGATGGACCATGGAGGCCGATGCTGTCTCTGTGCAGGCTTTGTACTTAAAGTATGGAACACTTCATGTCTCGCTATATCATCTTTATACATGTCATTTTGTCACTTTGCTTACTTTGTACTACTTATGAATAGCCAAGCCAGTTTAGTATGTGTCAGTGTGTGATAGAGCCTTGGGTTCAGCACACCTTGAGCCAGTTCAGCTTGGGTGGAAACTTTTATGGTCAGTTAGCTTGCCTTGGGAAGATGCTCATAGTGTGACAGAGCCTTGGGTTCTGCACACCTTGAGCTGCTGAAGTTGATCCCAATGGTCAACTCGGTGTGTGTGACGTAGCTGCCAGTGCTGTCCCTTGTGGAGCTGCTGAAGGAGATGCCCATTGCCCACGTATAGAGGCCTCCACATCTGTTATAAGATACCAGATCCACACATGGAGAACATCAAACAGGGATTTTTTTATCCAGTCACCTTTTGGATCTCTTCTTCAAGACTCCTAAAGGAATCCCAAAAGATTGTTTGGATTGGGCAGATTTGAGACAGGTGAATGTCTTATCCCAAGGTGTAACAACTGTTTTAACTTCAACCATTACAACCATTACACCAACATTTAAGGTATTTTTTATTTAGGAAAGTCCAACTCGAACATATCAAGACAGACAAGTCATGAGTTTCATCAAGTCTTTGAAAGGCATTTAGAAGTGATACACATAAGGAAGAGAATTTCAGGATGCCAACTTCTTTATTATGAGGAACATAACATTTTTGAGTATATGCCTCACCTGATGAAGGAGTAAGCATATACTCCGAAACATTGTGCTCATCATAATAAAAGATGTTGACATCCAGAAATTCTCTTCCTTAGGATTTTCTTGCCTTGGTTAACAACTGTATTTGCTGGTAAGAAAGCACAGTCCCTGGTGGTATGTTTTGAGAAACTGGACTCTTGGGATTCAGTTGGGATAAAACACCTGTATGATTGTAAGTACAGCATTTATTACATCAAAGGGAATATGTTTCTTGTATGTTTAAGAATCATACGTGTTACCATGCAGTCTCTTTATTGAATGTTTCATATTTCATTGAACTCTATCTGTTATCATAGTTCAAGTGGTATTTGTATTTTACTAAATATTGAAAGAAACATTTGATTTCTGGTCATCATTTTTCTGATATATATATTTTTGTTTATATTGTGGGTGGAAGATTCATCCGTGCACCAGTACATTGTGAGTTTTCATGGAATGATACATTACATGATATGTTTTTTCTGTATCGATACAAGATGATACACTTGTTAAATGAATTACTTACTACTCGTTTAATGACCTTCGCATTTTCGTCAGTCAGTTGTCTCAAAATGTGTTGTAATTAGCGTTTCAAGTTCACTACTAACAATAGCTGCTACGAACATGTGGCTACAGCTAACTTCTCCTTTTGAACCTGCTCTGAAATATATATAGTTTTAAGTTTCCACACGATTTGATGTAAATATGTGTATCACGATGCATATCGTATCATGATCTATGTATCATGATATGTATCATATCATGACCTTGCTGTATCATTGTAACATTGCAGTAACATACCTGCACTGTTAAGCCAGCTCCAGTAACTGTAGAATGTGCCACCAGATAATGTGCTGAGTTTGAATCCCAGATTTACCCTGATTGTGATCTAGATCTGTCAGCACCATTCCCATCGTCCTGTTGAACCAGCGGTGTAAATATGTATGACCAGTGCCAATTTGGGCTTCTTCCTACCTTCACTTGACTTTCCGTCATATGACGTGCATGTCACTCACTCACGACTACAATCTGCAGAAATGCTGACCATTGCGATACTTGGCATAATATTTACGATTTTGAACCTAAAATAATGCTGTTATAAACACTTGTCTTCCTTTCAATAAGTTTTTCACAAATTATTTACATCCATAAACTTTCACAGAAAGCAAATTTTTAATGCATCAGTAACATGAAGTAATTTTATCGAACAATCTTTGTGGGTGCAGACAGGAAACTTATTTCATGCATGAAAGACAGTTATTTAGAGTCGCATGAGGAATTTTACACATGTGTTGAGCTTTGACCACATGTTTGACTTCTGTCTAAGCCTAACGAAACTGGCGAAGCGAAGACCGACATCATGGTACTGTTAACATTTTCACTTGAAATTATGCTTTAGTTTCTTCACACAACTTCAATTAGGGTTGGCATCTCTGCAGTCTGTTGAGGTCAATTTCATGTACTTAATTTGATTTTCAGGGATTTATTCTCGTTTTACACAACACAAATGCTGTATATTCCGCGCAGCAGTCAGGATCCAGTGCCCACATAACCACTGTGTGTCCCTTTAGTTTTACTGACAGTCAAAATACAAGGAATAATTGCAAGCATTTATCCTGCACATATACTTTTGTCATTTGATGCTGGTATGAAAATGGTTTGTTAGTGATGAAATGCCTATAGCAAGTATATCATAGCATGATGTTTTATTTTGATTTTACTTTAGATTTTTGCTGCACCTTATAATATCAAAATATATATGCTGACCATATGCCAGTAATGTGCATTCTGGATGTGTAGATGTGTGTGTGTGCAACTTATACACTAAGTTACTTAACCCTTACATTTGCCTTGTCACAAGTAGCCTGTCACAACTTGCCATACAGAGTTGCATCCCTTTGCTGCCAGGTTATGTGTGCAAATTCAAAATTTGGCCTCGATAAAGTCTGTCAGGCCAATACCCATTCAATGCTGGTCGTAAGAGGTCACTTTGTGGATTGGGTGGTCAGACTTGGTGACTTGGTTGTATCGGTTATTGTCAGAAGTGACAGGAGACTCTAATTTTGGCAGAGATTTCTTATGACTATGGAAAGGGTTTTGTTGCTTTATTTATTTGATGACGTGTCATACACCAATGGTGTGGATCGTTGCATAAAATCACTGGTTTCCCTGGCCCAGACTCGATTAGTTTCAGGCCACCATCATGTAGCTGCAATATTGCTGAGTTGGTTTTAAACAACAAACATGCATAAGAAAGCATTCTGTCTTGCGATCACCACTGTTGTATGTGATATTTATGACATCAAGTGAAAAATAATTATTTTTTATAGTCATCACGTGTATTGTAAATATATTCACCGAATAAAACCACATGCTGTATTGTGTTATGTGGCACCATTATCATGGCCTGTGCATAGCAGTGGAGGTGTTGCAATAAATCCGTATCTACTTTCTTTGACACTTTGTTACCTTCATTCCACATTTGTTTCTAGAAACACCAAACCTAACAATACCATGAGCTCAAAGGCAACTATAAAGGATCCTGTAATTTGATACCTGAAAGTCAACTACAACCATGAAGTGGTTGAAGGTTGCACAGATATGAAACTAAAAAGTCAACTATAACCAGTATATGGACCAGATGGTTGCACAGACTGATAACTGAAGGTCAGTCAATAACCAGTATATGGACCAGATGGTGGCACAGATTAATAACTGAAGGTCAACTATAAGCATTATATGGACCAGATGGCTGCACAGATTAATAACTGAAGGTCCACTATAATCATAATATGGCCCAGATGGCCGCACAGATTAATAACTGAAGGTCAACTATAAGCATTATATGGGCCAGATGGCCCCACAGATTAATAATTGAAGGTCAACTATAAGCATTATATAGGCCAGATGGTGGCACAGACTGATAACTGAAGGTCAACTATAAGCATTATATGGACCAGATGGCTGCACAGATTAATAACTGAAGGTCAACTATAAGCATTATATGGACCAGATGGCTGCACAGATCAATAACTGAAGGTCAACTATAAGCATTATATGGAACAGATGGCCGAAAAGATCAATAACTGAAGGTCAACTATAAGCATTATATGGGCCAGATGACCCCACAGATTAATAACTGAAGGTCAACTATAATCATTATATAGACCAGATGGCTGCACAGACTGATAACTGAAGGTCAACTATAAGTATTATATGGACCAGATGGCTGCACAGACTGATAACTGAAGATCAACTATAACCATTATGTGGACCAGATGGTGGCACAGATTAATAACTGAAGGTCAACTATAAGCATTATATGGACCAGATTGCTGCACAGACTGATAACTGAAGGTCAACTATAAGCATTATATGGACCAGATGGCTGCACAGATTAATAACTGAAGGTCAACTATAAGCATTATATGGACCAGATGGCTGCACAGATTAATAACTGAAGGTCAACTATAAGCATTATATGGACCAGATGGCTGCACAGACTGATAACTGAAGGTCAACTATAAGCATTATTTAGACCCGATGGCTGCACAGATCAATAACTGAAGGTCAACTATAACCTTTATATGGACTAAATGGCTGCACAGACTGATAACTGATGGTCAACTTTAAACAGTATATGGAACAGATTGCTGCACAGACAGATAACTGAAGGTCAACTATAAGCATTATATGGACCAGATGGCTGCACAGACTGATAACTGAAGGTCAACTATAACTATTATATGGACCAGATGGTGGCACAGATTGATAACGGAAGGTCAGCTATAACTATTATATGGACCAGGTGGTGGCACAGATTGATAACGGAAGGTCAACTATAACTATTATATGGACCAGGTGGTGGCACAGATTGATAACGGAAGGTCAGCTATAACTATTATATGGACCAGATGGTGGCACAGATTGATAACGGAAGGTCAGCTATAACTATTATATGGACCAGATGGCCGCACAGATTGATAACTACCACCTGTACACTTTCACCCCTCAAAGAGTTTTGAGTGTGTGGTTTTTCCAATATGATAGATAAAAACATAATCAGTCCAACTTTGCCTGTGGGTATGATACAGAATCTATTGTCACCGTTAACCTGAAGGAGAAAATGTATACAGACTGGATGTAAAAATGTAGTAGCTGATGTAGTGATGTTTTGTCATCAGTTGATTTACGTTCACAGTATGTAGATTCACTATCACGTCTTATGGCAACGTGAGGCAAGAGGGCGGCATTGCACATACAGTGGCCGGCACTTTCACGGTTACTTGCGGGCTGTCTATCTTGGCTTTAAGAACAAACACCAAACAAACCAAATAAAGCCTCTCTCCTGTTACCACATGGCGGCATACCAAATAAAGTCTCTCTCCTGTAACCGCGTGGTGGCATACCAAATAAAGTCTCTCTCCTGTAACCGCGTGGTGGCATACCAAATAAAGTCTCTCTCGTGTAACCACGTGGTGGCATACCAAATAAAGCCTCTCTCCTGTAACCGCGTGGTGGCATACCAAATAAAGTCTCTCTCGTGTAACCGCGTGGTGGCATACCAAATAAAGTCTCTCTCCTGTTACCACATGGCGGCATACCAAATAAAGTCTCTCTCCTGTAACCACGTGGCGGCATACCAAATAAAGTCTCTCTCCTGTAACCACGTGGTGGCATACCAAATAAAGTCTCTCTCCTGTAACCGCGTGGTGGCATACCAAATAAAGTCTCTCTCCTGTAACCGCGTGTTGGCATACCAAATAAAGTCTCTCTCGTGTAACCGCGTGGTGGCATACCAAATAAAGTCTCTCTCCTGTAACCGCGTGGTGGCATACCAAATAAAGTCTCTCTCCTGTAACCGCGTGTTGGCATACCAAATAAAGTCTCTCTCGTGTAACCGCGTGGTGGCATACCAAATAAAGTCTCTCTCCTGTAACCGCGTGGTGGCATACCAAATAAAGTCTCTCTCCTGTAACCGCGTGGTGGCATACCAAATAAAGTCTCTCTCCTGTAACCGCGTGGTGGCATACCAAATAAAGTCTCTCTCGTGTAACCGCGTGGTGGCATACCAAATAAAGCCTCTCTCCTGTAACCGCGTGGTGGCATACCAAATAAAGTCTCTCTCGTGTAACCGCGTGGTGGCATACCAAATAAAATCTCTCTCCTGTAACCGCGTGGTGGCATACCAAATAAAGTCTCTCTCGTGTAACCGCGTGGTGGCATACCAAATAAAGCCTCTCTCCTGTAACCGCGTGGTGGCATACCAAATAAAGCCTCTCTCCTGTAACCGCGTGGTGGCATACCAAATAAAGTCTCTCTCGTGTAACCACTTGGTGGCATACCAAATAAAGTCTCTCTCCTGTAACCGCGTGGTGGCATACCAAATAAAGTCTCTCTCGTGTAACCACGTGGTGGCATACCAAATAAAGCCTCTCTCCTGTAACCGCGTGGTGGCATACCAAATAAAGTCTCTCTCCTGTAACCGCGTGGTGGCATACCAAATAAAGTCTCTCTCCTGTAACCGCGTGGTGGCATACCAAATAAAGTCTCTCTCCTGTAACCGCGTGGTGGCATACCAAATAAAGTCTCTCTCGTGTAACCGCGTGGTGGCATACCAAATAAAGCCTCTCTCCTGTAACCGCGTGGTGGCATACCAAATAAAGTCTCTCTCGTGTAACCGCGTGGTGGCATACCAAATAAAATCTCTCTCCTGTAACCGCGTGGTGGCATACCAAATAAAGTCTCTCTCGTGTAACCGCGTGGTGGCATACCAAATAAAGCCTCTCTCCTGTAACCGCGTGGTGGCATACCAAATAAAGCCTCTCTCCTGTAACCGCGTGGTGGCATACCAAATAAAGTCTCTCTCGTGTAACCACTTGGTGGCATACCAAATAAAGTCTCTCTCGTGTAGTCGCGTGGTGGCATACCAAATAAAGTCTCTCTCCTGTTACCACGTTGCGGCATACCAAATAAAGTCTCTCACCTGTTACCACGTGGCGGCATACCAAATAAAGTTTCTCTCCTGTAACCGTGTGGTGGCATACCAAATAAAGTCTCTCTCCTGTAACCGCGTGTTGGCATACCAAATAAAGTCTCTCTCCTGTAACCACGTGGCGGCATACCAAATAAAGTCTCTCTCGTGTAACCGCGTGGTGGCATACCAAATAAAGTCTCTCTCGTGTAACCACTTGGTGGCATACCAAATAAAGTCTCTCTCGTGTAACCGCGTGGTGGCATACCAAATAAAGTCTCTCTCCTGTTACCACGTGGCGGCATACCAAATAAAGTCTCTCTCCTGTTACCACGTGGCGGCATACCAAATAAAGCCTCTCTCCTGTTACCACGTGGCGGCATACCAAATAAAGCCTCTCTCCTGTTACCACGTGGCGGCATACCAAATAAAGTCTCTCTCCTGTAACCACGTGGCGGCATACCAAATAAAGTCTCTCTCGTGTAACCGCATGGTGACATACCAAATAAAGTCTCTCTCCTATAACCGCGTGGTGGCATACCAAATAAAGTCTCTCTCGTGTAACCGCGTGGTGGCATACCAAATAAAGCCTCTCTCCTGTAACCGCGTGGTGGCATACCAAATAAAGTCTCTCTCGTGTAACCGCGTGGTGGCGTACCAAATAAAGTCTCTCTCCTGTTACCACGTTGCGGCATACCAAATAAAGTCTCTCTTCTGTTACCACGTGGCGGCATACCAAATAAAGTCTCTCTCCTGTAACCACGTGTTGGCATACCAAATAAAGTCTCTCTCCTGTAACCACGTGGCGGCATACCAAATAAAGTCTCTCTCGTGTAACCGCGTGGTGGCATACCAAATAAAGTCTCTCTCCTGTAACCGCGTGGTGGCATACCAAATAAAGTCTCTCTCGTGTAACCGCGTGGTGGCATACCAAATAAAGTCTCTCTCGTGTAACCGCGTGGTGGCATACCAAATAAAGTCTCTCTCGTGTAACCGCGTGGTGCCATACCAAATAAAGCCTCTCTCCTGTAACCGCGTGGTGGCATACCAGATAAAGTCTCTCTCGTGTAGCCACGTGGTGGCATACCAAATAAAGTCTCTCTCGTGTAACCGCGTGGTGGCATACCAAATAAAGTCTCTCTCCTGTTACCACGTGGCGGCATACCAAATAAAGTCTCTCTCCTGTTACCACGTGGCGGCATACCAAATAAAGCCTCTCTCCTGTTACCACGTGGCGGCATACCAAATAAAGCCTCTCTCCTGTTACCACGTGGCGGCATACCAAATAAAGTCTCTCTCCTGTAACCACGTGGTTGCCCTCGAAATGAAAACACTCATCTGTTATCATGGCTTGACATATCAAATGAAGTCGCTCTCCTGTTTTCAAGTAGTACACATTTGGCATGAGACATCCGTGTTGATTGACTTCATACAGGCCATTATACAACCTGCAATCAGATCCGTGAAGATCCGGGGTAGAATAGGTCTTCAGCAACCCATGCTTGCCGTAAAAGGCGACTATGCTTGTTGTAAGAGGCGACTATTGTGTGGTCAGGCTCGCTGACTTTGTTGATGCATGTCATCGTATCCCAATTACGTGGATCGATGCTCATGATGTCAATCACTGGATTGTCTGGTCCAGACTCAGTGCGTCCTCAAACAAACCTGCGATCGGGTGGGCCCAAGTTGAAGCGGTCTCACTGGTCTCCGATATTTCTAATTCAGGAGGGGGGCACGGGTGGCCCAGTCGTCTAAGGCGCCGCGATTCGCTGTGCAGAGTTGCGTCCCTTGGGCACGCCAGAAACCTATGATTGTGGGTTCGAATCCCGGTTCGCCCCGATTATGTTTCTAGGTTTGTCAGCACCGTGCTCGTGGGTTTCAACGAAGTGGTAAACGTCTGAGACCTGCATCACTCCGGGCTTTCCTCCCACATTAAGCTGACACGCCGTGATATAACTGGAATACTTTTAAAAGCGGCGTTAAACCCAACTCACTCACTCACTCACTCACTCTAATTCAGGAGGGTAAATCAGAGGAATGGAATGGGAAAATTTGATGGTTATTGAACGATATCCATATCATCGATATACCTGAAGTGACTAATATGCTTGTCTGCACGTTTTTCAGTGAGTGAGTGAGTGAGACAATATGCCACCAATATCACGGCGGGGAACTCCAGAAATTGGCTTCATACACTGTACCCATGTGGGGAATCGAACCCGGGTCATCGGCGTGACAAGCGCACGCTTTAACCACTAGGCTACCCAGCCCTATACGTTTTTCAAGTTAAAAGAATCGATATTAAACAATACAGGAAATAACTCCTTTTATTGTAAAAATATAAATATTTGCACAAGGATGGGAATCTTTTGAATTTGTTCTCCGTGGGGAATACATGGGTCAGTGTTGTTCTTACATATTCATGAAATCCTCTCCATGCTTGTCGTTTAGCATCGGCAACTTCATGAAGATATGGGGAGTCCTGGTCGCCCTGACTCTTGATTACCAGTTCGTAACGAATTTTCTCACACTTGGAAGACATGTAGCAGCATTTTGCAAATTTTGTAAAACTTGATTCCAGCTTTCACCACGTCTCTTACAAACCCAAAAGCCAGAGATCGGACATTCCCTGAGAGTTTCATATTTTTGTTGTTGCTCGGTTCCAATGATCTCCAAATTTTATCCGGGACAAAAATTCGTGAAATGAACACGTTGTATCAGCATCCATCATCGCCTACAAGTATTCAAGAAATTGCTGAGCAAACACAAGCGCCACACAACAGAGCAAGGTGATTTTCTTCTCTACACACACGGGGGCACGCAAGGATGTGTGCTGGCTTCGTACTTTTCCAGTCGCGTAATCTTTAACTTGGAAACTAAATAGTCAAGGAGTGGAATCATGGGTGAAGCAGCGAAGGGAACGACAACGTCAACAACGCCATATTTGTCATTTCACTGGAAAAACACAAAGCACAACCCTCGAACAAACACAGAACCTGTCCTTGCCTCAGACTGTTTTTCAGCTGTGAGACTGACTGATGGTCTGCTTTACTCCTATAGAGAGCGACGCGTGGACGAAAAAGACTGGATTTGCTTCCCTCGTTATCAGGTAAACGTTCTCTTCTCTCTTGATGTGGCTTGCTGGTCGATCAACCACTTTTATAGTACCGCGGTATTCATATTTAATCTATAACAAATACTTTATGTGTTGTTAAGTGGGTGGTACTGATTTTAAACACCTCCGATAAAATAATGTTTGAAAATCGGACTATGCTTTATCGTCAGTTTTTGCATGTTTCAATTAAGTCGTTCAAATGATACTGTGTTTGTCTGCTATATTTTATGGATAATTACCAGATATCTTAGGGTTTGAACCATGACGCTAATTTGAGCCGCAAAATCTATGCTGGAAATCGCCACGAAGTTGTGAAGCGTCTCTGATCATACTGAACTGTGGGATCTGGATCTAATACAAACACCATGCATTTTTCAGCTAGACTAGAACGGGTACACATCATGCATTGTTCAGCTAGACTAGTACGGGTACACATCATGCATTGTTCAACTGGACAAGTACGGGTACACATCATGCATTGTTCCGCTAGACAAGTACGGGTACACATCATGCATTGTCCAGCTAGACTAGTACGGGTACACATCATGCATTGTTCAGCTAGACTAGTACGGGTACACATCATGCATTGTTCAGCTAGACTAGTACGGGTACACATCATGCATTGTTCAGCTAGACAAGTACGGGTACACATCATGCATTGTTCAGCTAGACAAGTACGGGTACACATCATACATTGTTCAGCTAGACTAGTACGGGTACACATCATACATTGTTCAGCTAGACAAGTACGGGTACACATCATACATTGTTCAGCTAGACTAGTCCGGGTACATTGCATTGTTCAACTAGACAAGTACGGGTACACATCATGCATTGTTCAGCTAGACAAGAACGGGTACACATCATGTATTGTTCAGCTAGACAAGTACGGGTACACATCATGCATTGTTCAGCTAGACTAGTACGGGTACATTGCATTGTTCAGCTAGACAAGTACGGGTACACATCATGTATTGTTCAGCTAGACTAGTACGGGTACATTGCATTGTTCAGCTAGACTAGTACGGGTACATTGCATTGTTCAGCTAGACTAGTACGGTTACACATCATACATTGTTCAGCTAGACAAGTACGGGTACACATCATACATTGTTCAGCTAGACAAGTACGGGTACACATCATACATTGTTCAGCTAGACTAGTACGGGTACATTGCATTGTTCAACTAGACAAGTACGGGTACACATCATGCATTGTTCAGCTAGACAAGAACGGGTACACATCATGTATTGTTCAGCTAGACAAGTACGGGTACACATCATGCATTGTTCAGCTAGACTAGTACGGGTACATTGCATTGTTCAGCTAGACAAGTACGGGTACACATCATGCATTGTTCAGCTAGACAAGAACGGGTACACATCATGTATTGTTCAGCTAGACAAGTACGGGTACACATCATACATTGTTCAGCTAGACTAGTACGGGTACATTGCATTGTTCAGCTAGACTAGTACGGGTACACATCATGTATTGTTCAGCTAGACTAGTACGGGTACACATCATGTATTATTCAGCTAGACAAATGCGGGTACACATCATGCATTTGTTCAGCTAGACAAGTACGGGTACACATCATGTATTATTCAGCTAGACAAATGCGGGTACACATCATGCATTTGTTCAGCTAGACAAGTACGGGTACACATCATGTATTGTTCAGCTAGACAAGTACGGGTACACACCATGCATTGTTCAGCTAGACAAGTACGGGTACACATCATACATTGTTCAGGTAGACAAATGCGGGTACACATCATGCATTGTTCAGCTAGACAAGTACGGGTACATTGCATTGTTCAGCTAGACTAGTACGGGTACACATCATGTATTGTTCAGCTAGACAAGTACGGGTACACATCTTGCATTGTTCAACTGGACAAGTACGGGTACAAATCATACATTGTTCAGCTAGACTAGTAAGGGTACACATCATACATTTGTTCAGGTAGACAAATGCGGGTACACATCATGCATTGTTCAGCTAGACAAGTACGGGTACATTGCATTGTTCAGCTAGACTAGTACGGGTACACATCATGTATTGTTCAGCTGGACAAGTACGGGTACACATCTTGCATTGTTCAACTGGACAAGTACGGGTACATTGCATTGTTCAGCTAGACTAGTACGGGTACACATCATGTATTGTTCAGCTGGACAAGTACGGGTACACATCTTGCATTGTTCAACTGGACTAGTATGGGTACACATCATGTATTGTCCCGCTAGACAAGTACGGGTACACATCATACATTGTTCAGCTAGACTAGTACGGGTACACATCATACATTGTTCAGCTAGACAAGTACGGGTACACATCATACATTGTTCAGCTAGACTAGTACGGGTACATTGCATTGTTCAACTGGACAAGTACGGGTACACATCATGCATTGTTCAGCTAGACAAGTACGGGTACACATCATGCATTGTTCAGCTAGACTAGTACGGGTACATTGCATTGTTCAGGTAGACAAGTACGGGTACACATCATGTATTGTTCAGCTAGACTAGTACGGGTACACATCATGCATTGTTCAGCTAGACAAGTACGGGTACACATCATACATTGTTCAGCTAGACAAGTACGGGTACATTGCATTGTTCAGCTAGACTAGTACGGGTACACATCATGTATTGTTCAGCTAGACTAGTACGGGTACATTGCATTGTTCAGCTAGACTAGTACGGGTACACATCATGTATTGTTCAGCTAGACTAGTACGGGTACACATCATGTATTGTTCAGCTAGACAAGGACGGGTACACATCATGCATTGTTCAGCTAGACAAGGACGGGTACACATCATGCATTGTTCAGCTAGACTAGTACGGATACATTGCATTGTTCAGCTAGACAAATGCGGGTACACATCATGCATTTGTTCAGCTAGACAAGTACGGGTACATTGCATTGTTCAGCTAGACAAATGCGGGTACACATCATGCATTGTTCAGCTAGACAAATGCGGGTACACATCATGCATTGTTCAGCTAGACAAGTACGGGTACATTGCATTGTTCAGCTAGACTAGTACGGGTACACATCATGTATTGTTCAGCTAGACTAGTACGGGTACACATCATGCATTGTTCAGCTAGACAAGAACGGGTACACATCATATATTGTTCAGCTAGACTAGTACGGGTACACATCATGCATTGTTCAGCTAGACAAGAACGGGTACACATCATGTATTGTTCAGCTAGACAAGTACGGGTACACATCATACATTGTTCAGCTAGACAAGTACGGGTACACATCATGCATTGTTCAGCTAGACAAGGACGGGTACACATCATACATTGTTCAGCTAGACAAGTACGGGTACACATCATGCATTGTTCAGCTAGACAAGGACGGGTACACATCATGTATTGTTCAGCTAGACAAGTACGGGTACACATCATGTATTGTTCAGCTAGACAAGTACGGGTACACATCATGTATTGTTCAGCTAGACAAGGACGGGTACACATCATACATTGTTCAGCTTGACAAGTACGGATACACATCATGCATTGTTCAGCTGGACAAGTACGGGTACACATCATGCATTGTTCAGCTGGACAAGTACGGGTACACATCATGCATTGTTCAGCTGGACAAGGGCGGGTACACATCATGCATTGTTCAGCTAGACAAGTACGGGTACACATCATGTATTGTTCAGCTAGATAGTCAGTTGGCCACCAGCGGAAAAGAGGCTTAGTTTAGATTTTCGTTCCCACATTTCCCTGTATACCTTAAACCTTTTCTATTGCATAAAGGAGGTATCTGTACACAATTTGCATTGGGTAGTAAGCTTGCAAGAGTGTGCAGGAATTTTCAGGGGGTCAAAATTGCATAAATTGAAGGGAAAATGCGTATTTTGACAAAATTGGCTGTAACATTTTTATTAAGTCATTAATCTATCCAAATTATGTCTTTGATTACAGGTAATATGTTCGGTTATCTGAATTTGGCAAACATTTTGTTTCATTTAACTGTTATTCTAATTCTCAGTGGAAACATTGGTAAAAATCATGTTTTTTTACTTCATTTTCAAATCTTGTGAGTAGGTAAAACACTAATTCCATTGGATTGTGACAATAAAACCACTATAACTGGGTACTAAAATCTGCCTTAACCATTGTACTATCCTATACAAAAAACAAAATGAAAATATATTACATAGGGGTTGAGATATTGTATACAATGTTTCCCAACCCCCCAAATACCAATTTTGATGAAAATTGCTTATTGAGATATGATGGTAGATGCTGCTGCTGTAGTCGATGAGTGGGATAATTGCAACAATGCTTAAAAACACCAAAATAGTAAACTCATAAAGAAAAATGATGTTTCAAGTTTTTCTGTGAGCATTTATGGTGGCCATCTTGAATTTCAAGATGGCCGCCATTTTGACCTGTTTTCAAAATCAAGATCTTATATAGTTCTTCAACATGGTCATGTAATATATCATATGAAAGCTTTTCACATTGTCTTTTGAATGATGTACATTATTCACTGACTCCTGTGGTAAATTGATCCCCAACAATGAAAAAAGGAAATATTGAAAGCTAATTTCTCTCGCGACTTCAACCCATACCCAAATTTAGATTTAAATTAAAATGGATATATTTTCACTCAAAATTGTAGATATACTGCACTTTAGTTCTTCAACATGGTCATGTAATATATCATACGAAAGCTTTTTTAGAATGTCTTTTCAATGATGAACTTTATTCACTGACTTCTGTTGGTAATCTTATCCCCCAATAATACAACAAATGATATATCGAAAGCTAATTTCTCTAGTCACACCAACTAACCTCCAAAGTCGTATTTTAATAAAATGGACATCGTTTCACTCAAAATTGTAGATATACTGAGCATTTAACTAGGTTATCGTTTGAGTGAAAAAAACATGAGAATACTTGTAGTATTTTGAAGTATTAAAAATTACATCACAGAGTCAAGGGCTGTG